TTAATTACCAAATTGCATCTCCATCTGTGAAATGCACTCCTTTTTGCTCAAGTTGCTGACCTTCTACGCCTTGCCTCGGCCAGTAGACACTTAGTCTCTGTAAGGCTCTGCTGCAAGGTCTCAAGCTTTCTGGACTCTTGCTTTCCCTGTTATTTTCTAGAAAACCGAAATAATCGTGATGAATATTTTTCTCCATTATCAGTTTGTAGACTCTTCGGAGCTCCTGGCTCAGCTGCAAACACTTGAATGTCAGTTGAGCATCACTTCTCTTCACCTGGTACTTGACCCCTTCGAGAGAACCCAATGCATAGGGTACCCCATGCCTGCTCAGAAGTTCGAATAGTGTCTAGATGTCACTTCATAACCACTGCCGGTGCCGTGTAGTCAGCCTTCTTTGCCACTACAGCTGTATGCATCTTCTCAGCTATGAGCACTTCGCAGTGCTCCAGCTCGTCCACATTGCCAACTGATATTATATCGTCTGTGTTGAGGCGCCTCAGTCGGTGGCGCGACAACTTTGCATTACCAGACTCCCGATTTGGTTTCGGCGCTCGAGTCAATGGCTTCCACTTGACCTAATCGTGAAGAAAGCAAAGCTTGTCACCTTGCTTCACAGGTAGTTGCTCACCATCTAGTGCCTGTAAATGAAGTGCCTGCAGCTAATTTGTTGCTCATAAGCTCGACAGAAACTGGCCTCCTTGATATTTATGCCTCCTTACAGTTAAGTGGCGGTCTCTTATCTCTACTTCGTATGACCCCTTGACCCTGGATAGTTCTGTTTGGGTTTTCCACTGTTCTCCTCTCTTCCAGCTCCCGAAGATAGAAGACATCTCTGTGGTGCTCTATATGCCCTTCATCTAATACCTTCTACAGCAACAGAGATACCCTGATTTCCCCTGTTGCAGTATCTTGCAAAGTTTTCACAGGTTGGCAGCAAAACTAGGTATAATCAACAGTTTTATTAGAGAGCGATAAAAGAGTAGTAAATCAACTTCTATATATATGGAAAGTTAACCGCCTGTTGAGATCTGATTTCTTGATATGACATCGCGCGATATCGCGTGACATCGTGCGATATCCAATCATGTTCTTATTTTGAACCAAAAAGTGGGAAATGACTTCTCTATAAAGTGAGAGGTCATTTCTCCGAAACTTAACACTCCTTTCAAATTAAGTACTAAATCATAGCCTACACTGGTCTGGAGGTTCAGTTTTACCATGTCCCATACGATGTTTGTTAAGAGCAATATCACTTTTTTTATGTCCTAAGTCAAATATCCGTATCAATTTGCCTGCTCTGCTTTCAAACTTCTTACGCTCCCTTAGCTTTGAACCTAACTTCATGTCCATACTCTGAAACTTCTCAACCTCGCATAAGTTTCTCGACTCCTCCTTACCTCGTTCATCTAATGACGTTTTAGATTTTGGATGGGCTCTAGGTTCATTTTTCAGCTCAACTTCTTTCCTTATATCATCGTCTTTTATCAAGTTCTCATTTTGCTAAATAAAACTCTTCTCTTCTGTTTCTCTGCAAAAATAAGTCTTATTGACTCTGAACTCTGAATTGCTTTCCACTTTTTCAACACCTAATTTTGTGCGATTTCTAAATCCTATTATTTTCCAAATGAAAAGATTACCTCGCTCACTAAGTGGATAAACAGTCCCATTTCCTTGCTCAATACATCACTTTTCTCCAAAAACTACATTTGCTCCTCCTCTAGTAAGTTTTGAGACGGACACTAAATTTTCTGAGTTTTCTGGTACACAGAAACAATCACTCATAGAATTTTTTTCGAATTTCCTTGAGAATCTTTTACGAAAAACTCAACTCATCCTTTACCTAAAACCTTAGACTCCGTTTTGTTAGCGTTTTCAACAGTTTCGCTAAAACTCTGGTCAAGCTCAACAAATAAATTCTTATCCTTTATCATACTGCAAGTTGAGCTTGAATATATAACTAGGTTACCGTCGACTCTCTCAGCCGAGTTGTAAAAGCTAAAATGAGTTTCATTTGTTTCAGCTAACAGCTGGTCTTCTCTCACGCTTTTTCTCTCAAATTCCTTCTTACAATCCCTAGCTATGTGTCCTATTTCTAAGCACCTGAAACATTTCACAGGAGATCTATCACTAGATGACTGGTTAACCTTATTCACTAACTTAGTTCTACAATGAGCTGCTATATGTCCTGTCTTATTGCACCTAAAACATGTTTTCGTTCTCGAAATAAACGAATGTTCGGTCTCCTCCTTCTCATTTCTATGATCACTTTCAAATTTTAACAAATCATTCTTAATTTCGTTCAAACTCTTATCATCTTTGCTGAACTTAACCAAAGTACAAAACGTATTGAACTCTTTTGGTAGGCCTTTAAGAATGATTGACACAAACATATTTTCACTTAAACCCTCGTCTACTTCATCTAAATTATACTGCAACTCTTCAGCTCTAGTGATATAATCGACTACACTCTCATTAGCTTTCATTCTTATCGAAGTTAAATCTGAAATCAATTGCTGCAGTCTAGGTCTCTCGGCGCTTTTGAACCTTTTGCACAAAATTTCCCAAGCCTTACTTCCCTTGCCTTTAAAGGGTCTTAAAAACAAAACAGATTTTTTGTCTAAACATAGCACCAACTCATACCAAACATGCAATTCTTTTTCACCTAAAATTTATCTCCATTTTCTCAAAGATGCCTCTCTCTGTTCTACAGTAGCATTTTTCCTAACACTGGGTGCGAAATCTTTCTCATCTACTTCTCTATTGATAACTTTATTCAGTTTAAGATGAAAAATTCTAGCCTCAAATTGCTCTTCAAAATACAAAAAGTCTTCTTCTTTTCCTGAAAACACTATTCTCTCTGACTTAGACATTTTTTCACCTAAGCCGTATTGCTCTGAACAAATATATCTTATGTTCCACGTACTTCTCAATGACCCAAAATTCAGACTAAATTATATCAGCAATCATATCGCAGCGCATAATATAAGTAATCATGTATCTCATTACCTAAGTCTGATCCAAAACCTAACGGTAAGCGTACTGAATAACACATCAGCGATGTAGCAAAGCTAAGGTTACTTCACAGACTTCATACATAGCAATATATATTAGCACAATAGAAATTTTGGAGTGTTTTTTTATTTGTTGAACTTCTATTTTTTAAATCTGGTTGGAGGTCAGATCTCGCAGCGACGGAATACGATCCCCCAAGCAACAACACATATCTACAAATATATAAAACACCACATCAACTGAGTTTATCAAATTGAACAGTTTGTCAGTTTCTATCTATCGCTGTTTCTCTCTCTCTCTCTCTCTGTCTCTCTCTTTCTATCTCTCTCTCTTTCTCTCTCTCTCTCTCTCTCTCTCTCTGTGTGTGTGTATCTCTTTCTCTCGTGTGCTTCTTTCAGCTTTCCTTGTGACTCCAGACTTCACTGATCACTGAATTGTCTCAATGCCCTGTCTCAATGACTCTTTGTATTGCTCTGTTGTCTATCTGCCAGTTCACTATCTTCTTTGTGACTTTTTCCACGGTTGTCTGTTTTTTGTGACTTTAACTGTGTCAACAATTTACAGCTTGCTCTTTCAACGTTTGTTGTTAAGTCAGTCAATCTTGACTTCTGACACGTATTTTACTGCTGGGCCCATAACCTTTCACAGGTTAGCAGCAAAACTAGGTATAATCAACAGTTTAATTAGAGAGCGATAAAAGAGTAGTAAATCAGCTTCTATATATATGGAAAGTTAACCGCCTGTTGAGATCTGATCTCGTGATATGACATCGCGCGATATCGCGTGACATCGTGCTATATCCAATCATGTTTTTATTTTGAACCAAAAAGTGGGAAATGACTTCTCTATAAAGTGAGAGGTCATTTCTCCGAAACTTAACAAAAGTAACCAAGTTGCCCACACGTGAAGCACCCTTCTTTTCTTTGAAGCTGACCCATCGAGTTCTTTTGGCTCACTGCCTCAAGCATTAAATTGACCCGGCAAATCTCGATTTGCACATCCTCGCCTCTTCCGACTGACAACAGCTCACTTATCTTCCTCGTATACCCAGTCTTTCCTCCGCAACGAATCCTCGTAGATACACAGCTTTTTCAGCAGCCAGACAGCCGAGTAAGACCTTTCAGGCAGATTATTGCAACCGAGAGCAACGAAGAATGTGTCGCTGATAATGTCCACACTTCGTTCAACCGCGTCTTTAGCTCTTGTTTTTGAACGAACCTTGTTTTTGAATTGGTTGTCATCGCCTGGTTCTAGGCAAAGCATCGCAATTTGGTCTTCTATGCTGACCACTACGAGCCTCCCCTCGCTGAAAAACTTCTCTTGAAGTAGCCACCAGGTCTTCGTCACATCGCAGGAACCATTGTTTGCATATTGAGTGATTGAGCTGTTTACCCGCTATATATTTTTTTCAGTATGTTGCCTGTGTGTGACTTGGGGTTTTGAGAGATGTTGTCGATGAGTTTGTTTGGCCAAAAGAAGACGTCGTTGTGATAGATGAGGTTCAAAAATTGACTGATAGTTTGAACATAGTTTTCAATTCTTTGAAATCAACCTAAGGTGACCCGTTTTAGAGTGAATTTTTGGCAAACATTGTTAATTCTGGTAAAATTCGAGCCCTTTCTGTTTTTATATCTTTTGTCTAAACTAGGCTATTTGAGAATAACGTGCTTGAGGTTATCAGTTTGAATAGTTTTATCCGAAGAGCACTGTATATAAGCCAATAAATTTTTTTAGTGACGCTAGTCAGTTTAAGAATAATTGAGGTCGACATGGTTAAAAAACGAACAGTTTTAGCTTTCAATTGGTCTAAGTATCCTGTATTTTTACAAAACTCACTCTTAGAGTAATTCTAGTTGTTTAGGAGGTGTTTCATTGATATTTGAACGTATTTTTGCTACCCTTGATTATTTATCAAAATAAGTTGATAAAGTCTTTCACATCCTACTGAATGTCTCCTATAATCTATTTTGAAATACATGTTTTTTAAGCAAAGTTGTGGTGATTGGAAGCTGCTGAAGTCATTGGTTGTGGACCTGAACTTTGTAAAAGTGTGCTTCGAGACGGACAGTCATCATAAACTGGTCCAGTGCCTCAACTCGACGGGTGAGTATTTAAAAACAAAAATATACTGTAACAAGACTGCTCGTATCAGGGCGAAGCCCTGAATGTTTCGACTGCCTTTTAATGTTTATGGAGCAGTAATAACATTTAAAAACTAAATGTAAGAAAAAATACAATGAAAATTTTTTTTCTAAAATTAGAAATTTTTTATGAAAATCATCCCCCCACACGCCATACAAAGTACAAAAGGATAGATTTTACTCCTTGTAACAAACCAATTATGGCGAATAAGCTTCTTTTAACCAATTTGGAACGATTTCTAAGACGGATTAATTCTCCGCTTACGCGTTAATAGCGCGAAATATATCGCGCGTTAATTGTCCCAAATTGGCCAAAATGGCAATCTTTAAACCCCCATAACTTTACGAAAAATGATCACAGGTGAAATAATTTTTCAAATTTAGGCGCAGGACAACAATACCGCTTGAATGATATAAAAAATTCCGTCAAAAATGGCTAGTTAAAAAGTCGAAATTTGTCTGAAGAAAAAAAACCCACCCCGAGCACAAATATTCCGTTACTTTCGTATCGAAAGTCGGAACAACAAGAAGACTCCTTAAATGTAATGGGAAAAGATCGATGACGTCCCGTTTTAGAAAGAATTCAACAAATAGACCTGCTAATCAAATATCCCGTGTTTAACATTTGGATTAATGTATTGGTTCGAGTAGTTTTGACATTTTGTGAATTGTTAACTTAAGTATCCCTGTAAGCCGGCCGCAAAACTTAACTATCATGGCTAATGAAAGATAAAAGCCTTTTAGTTCGTGATTCTTTGTGAAACAAATCAATTCTTTTTATTGACTAGCCGTCGTATTTGATATGATCATTAAAATTTGGCACCCCTTTTAACTTTTGTCTGCTTTGAGCTGATGAAAATTAGTTTCAAAAATGATAAGCTTAAACTTTGAGGTACTCTATCGAGTTTTAAACAAACAATGCGCACGATGATTTTTCAATTCGATAATATCGGTGATCAAATTGATTGTCTTTTGTGTTTTGTGGATTTTTTTATTGCCTATATTTGCACCGTGTTCAAAAACAAAAATATGTTTTGTTTCTTATCATTTTTTAGTAAAGTTAGTGGATTTGCGCTGTCTCTTTCCAGTATGTATCCATTTTTGTATAATCATCCCTGTAATAATCTCTGAATGCTCTATTGTGATTTAAGTTAATTTTTCCAATTTTTGAAACAAACTAATGAGTGTGAAATTGGAGTTGCACCCTGATATGAGCAGAGTCGTTCTATTTTGATTTTAGATGAAAAATAATCATGAGCGCAAACTTTTTACGTCAAAATAAAGAGATGTGGGCTGCTGTGAAAAATGGACCTGCAGTTGTCAGTTTTTATACCTGTATAAACCTCAGTCGTATCAACTTATTACCGACTAATTTTTTATACTGCCGATATCTCTACCTTTTGATAATCATAGTTTCTATATCATAGTTACTAAAATTAGTATATTGAGGATTAAGCCTTGATTATTATAGGGAAATGGCCATCAATTGGCTTGAGTTAATTGTTCGTGTTTTAGAGGACAGTGCTGCATTGACGAGGCCGATGGCCAAAGAGGCAGATGCGTTCTTGAAGGACCCAAGTGTAGTGGCCGTGCGAAACTTTGTTGCCAGCAATCTACACATTTTTACTCGGTTAGGATTCTTTTTTGGTGATAGAAAAGAATAATCGAACCAATCTTTTTTCGGACTTTCTTACAAAAGGTGCTAGAGTAATCAAAGCCGTTCTTAGTATTAATAGTATTTTTGTTAAGGTACCTGTGCTCGGCTTTAGTTCAAAAGACAATAGTACAACTGCATAGTTCCTTGTTCGAAAAATTTCGTCAGAATTTTTTCTGCGTTAGGTGAGGGAGATAGCTCTTTAAGGTTGATCCGGTTGGCATATTTAAGTTTAGTTAACGTAGTGACTTTTCACTTAGGTACGTCGTATGTTATAGAAAAATCTTAAAACCTGTACTCGCTCATTTTTATGTTTTAGTGGTTTGAAGTTGAATTACGCTGTCTAATTATAAACTTGTATCCAGCGCAAAAATGTATCTTAACTGTTCATGTCAACCGTGAATTTAAAATTCAACATTACGAGGCCAAACTGTGCAACTTGTGAATTTTAAGCGGATTTCGCAACAGGCCAAAATCAAGTTTGTTGCGGAATTCGCAACTTTGTTTTTTTTTCTTTGATCTTCTTTTTTGTTTTGGGTTCCACAAACAAATAGCTAATACAGAGTATCACTCAAATTCGCTCTAAAAACCGGCGACTTAGCGGAATTCACAACAGAATTTGCGGAATCCGGAACAGTCTGTGGAATCCACTAACAAAAATCTTGTTTGGTAAAAACATGTATAAGAAAAATGTAAGGGGTTGAGTTTTTGTATATTTTTTGTTTTTTCAGACGCTTTGGAATTTTTTTTACCTTTTTCAAAAAAATGTTTTTCTCAAAAATTACTCAGCCGATTTTCAAAAAAGTGGTACCATTGGGAAGTCTGCCCAGTCCCCTGCTCGCCTGCATAATTCCCTAGTCTTTTCCCTTTAATCTACCTACAGCTACAGGATGTCAGAAGCTCCCATGCATAAGCGGCTATGTCCAAATTTTTTCTATACAAAAAAGTTATAGCCTTCAGCAAGTCAAATTTTCGATTTTTGACCGTTTTTTCAATCTTATTGACTTTTCTCGAAAACTACCCTCCCAAATCTGTTTTTTTTTGTTTCAATGGGTCGAACGGGTTGTGGAAAGCGCTCCTGTATAAACGGTTACGCCCAATTTTTTTCACACAAAAAGGAATGACCTTCGGATTTTTTGACCGTTTTTTGAAACATTTTGACTTTTTTCGAAAACTAATCTCCAAAATATGAGATTTTGAATTCAATTGACTGAATGATATGTGAGAAGCTCATCTGCATGGAGAATATCCACGAAATTTTTTACTATAAAATTTACGCCCTCGGAAAACCAAAATATGAGATTTTTTGAGATTTTTTTTCTTCATTTTTTTGACTTTTCTCAAAAACTACCCTCCCAAATCTGAGTTTTAGTTTCAGTGGGTAGATTGGGTTGTGGAAAACTCTCCTGCTTGAGCGGTTACGCCTATTTTTTACACAAAAAGTTATGACCTTCGGAAAAGTCAAATTTTTGATTTTTCGACCCTTTTTTTAAAATATTTTGAATTTTTCGAAAACTGCTCTCCCAAATTTGAGATTTTGAGTTCAATTGATTGAATGATATATAGGAAGTTCCTCTACATGGAGGCTTCGCACGAGGTTTTTAACTGAAAAGTTTACGCCCTCAAAAACAAGTTTTTTTAACTTGTCTCGAAAACTACCATCCAAAATCTGAGATTTTGGGTTCAATGAAAAGAATAGGATGATCGAAGCTCCACTGTGTAAGCGCGCACATCCAAATTTTATAACAAAAAATTATGGACTTCGAAAAAGACAAAGTTTACGAGAAATGAACGTAGTGAAGACTCTTATATAGGTCTTGCTGATTTTTATTGTTTTTTTTTCAGGAAAAAGTCTTAAATTATTGATACAATTAGGTATATATGCACTTTTTGGGTTCAATTGAAATTCGTAAATGGCACTCTTCAAATACGAACGTGCAAATGGCGCAAAAAATTCTAGTACGATTTCTAGTTTCGAAAGTGGAATTTAATTTTTGGATTTTTAGCGGAATAAAAACTTTTACCTGTTGATCCAGTTTTCTCAAGTTGGGTTAATGTTATCAAAAAAGCGCCTGTCATAAATTGTTCTAGAAATTTAAAGAGCATAAAGGGCATTTTTTTGAAGTTCGAAAGAAATAAATTCAAAATAAAGATATTCCATTTTTTCAACGAAGTCAATGTTTTTTTTCTTCTGTTTACTTGCGTTCATTACTCTTTTCCAATGTTCGATTGGCTATGTTTTGATTTCTTGTCCGTTTTTTTGAAACTTTTTGACATCTCTCGAAAACAACTCAATCTGATATCAAGGGTTTAATCGAGGCGACAGGCAATAAGATGCTTTTCCCTAGAGTTTGTTCAAAAAAATTTTCCCGGGGAAATTTCCGTACTGACAAAAATTTCACTCATGTTTTATTAGAGCAATAACTAATATTTGATGAAGCCCACTTTTTCAGTTTTTGAAATTACCTTTTTCATCCCGCATCAGTTGAACAAAATCAAAAAATTTTGCAGATATAATTCCAGCTTTAGCTGGGCCTCTACTAGAATACGCTTACATATGAAGATACCTGTTTCAAATTTTGCGGATTCCCTTTACATTTGCGGAATCTACCAACATTGTGCGGAATCCGTATACAGTTGCGGTATCTGGAACAACTAGTTATATTCGCTTCTTGCGGAATCCACGACCAAACAATTGTGCCGACAGCTTACGTTACAGGCTTTTACACGCGGAATCCACAGAAATTTTGTTACAGGTTTAAACACGCTGAATCCACGGAAATCTCTTCAGTGAAATTGGCTTACATTTTGGAACATGTTTGAAGACTTGTCTCTGGGTTCCACTGACATACAGACACCAAATTGTGCTCCATTCTGGTGCACAGTTTTGCCTCTTAATGAAATAGTTTCGTACTCATGAAATATTTTAAAGGAAATAGGCGATTTGATAGAAAAATCTAAATAACTGATTGGTTTTTTTATCTCTGTCTTTGAATTGGTAAAACTATTTGTCTGTTGGCTGAACAAATATTAGTGAACAAAATGATGTCAAAATTTTTGATCGTTCGTGTTTTTTTTTCGTTGTGTAATTTAATGTTCGCTCTTCAATTATGAAAATGTAAGTTGTGCGTAAAAAACGCGAACTTTTACTTTAAGTTTTGAAAGTGGATTTTTGTCTGAAGCTCAATTTCAAAAAGATATTTCACCTGTGCTTTGTAGTTTACAATACGTGTGAGCTAATGAATGAAAGAAAACAATGAAAGAAAAAAAATGGAAACAATATTTTTAAATTATTTCGTCAACTTTTCCGCCAAAGTTTTTTAATTGGCCCGAAAGTACCGTCGGAACATTCAGGACTTTGCCATGATATATGAGCAGTCTTGTTTTGTTTCTAGGTTATTATATATTTTTCTCTAGTGCTTGAGATAATTTTTTTTGATAGATTGGCGATTGGAACTTTGTTTTAAATGTGTGCTTTGACAATTTTTTCCACGCAATTTTGAATAATGTAACTATTATGTTGAATTTTGGCATTTGAAATAATGCGTTTCTCAAAGGATAACCTTATACTTGATTTTTGCTGTATGTGGCGCGGGAAAAAAATACGAGACAAGTTACAGGGCAGTTGGAAAATGTAGGGGTATGCTCTGATTCGAACAGTCTTGTTAAATGTGAATGAACGATGTGATCGTTCAAGTTGTGTGATTAATGATTTTTTTTGGAAATGCTTGCTCAATTTATCAGTTTTGCGGCTTGACTTTTGGGTTGCCTCGGTTATAAAAACTCAGATTTGTGTAAAAGTTCAGATAAAATGGCTGCCCGATTTTACTCTGAGCTATATTTTTCAAAGAATATGTAAATAAATAATATGGCAAAGAAGTGAATACTGCATTTTTGCTTTAAGCCTTTCTTTTTGTTCCGACTTTTGAATAAAGTGAGGAATATCTAAACTCAAGTTTTTTTTTCATTCAGACCAATTATACAAACTTCTGGTCCCTCTGAGGATCGATTTCTTGATCTGCTTGGGCCCAGCCGGATGTGCACACCACTATAGTAACCTGTCACTGGTCTGTCTAAACTGCTCGTTTTACAATTTACACGCTTGGCAAATTATCCCGCACTTAATCATTTCAAATTGAATTGAGACAGCTGGTTGATTTTAATGATTCCATAAACGAACCTAAGCGTAAAATTCACAGTTTTCCCAAAACTTAATTTATCAAAAACTGTTCGAGACCAATTAAACGGCAGTGGGATCATTCAGGGCTTTGCCCTGATATGAGCAGTCTTGTTATAGTGTAACAATTGAAAGTTAAATAAAAATTTAACAATGAAGCGGTTTTTAAATGGATTTGCTGAAATTTTTTTTGAGAATAGTCATTTTTGCTAAGAACTACAGCTCTCGTTTAAATGAGCTTTCGTTGAGGCTTAGACTGATTACAACTTTAAATGAGCTTTCGTTAAGGCTTAGACTGATAAAAGTATCGTTTCCGCAAAATATTCATAGATTGAGTTGAGGTCTTAGGGATTATTATTTATGTAATCTCTCTTGATGACATGATTGCCTGGATAATCAGTAGTATAAAGATTTTTTCGGTTTGTTGCTGCAAAACAGGTATCTGGTTTTCTAATGAAGCCTTAATCTGAGTCGAATTTCTTCTTTGGATTGATAAGAATGACAATTGGGTTTTTGCTCCGACTATTTTCGAAGAAAATGACGGAATATTTGTGCTCAGGGTGGTTTTGCTCCCTAGACAAGTTCCGATTTTTTAACTAGCCATTGACAAAAATTTTTTAAATAGATTATTTAAAGGTAATCTTGTCTTGTTCAAATTTAAAAAGATATTTCACCTGTGATAAATTCATGTTCAGTTATGGGGGTTTAAAGATTGCCAATTTGTGACAATTAACGTGCGATAAATTTCGCGCTATTAACGCGTAACCGGAGATTTAATCCGTTTTAGAAATTGTTCCAAATTGGATTGAGGCATCCTCTTTGGTCTATGTAATACTTTGATATATGCGAAATATATCACTTGGTACTTGTGGGGTATTCATTTTTTTTTTGAAATTTTCATCAGTTATTTTAATTTCAACTGCTCCATAGAAATCAAAATGCAGTCGGTATTTTCGGGGCTTCGCCCTAATACGAGCAATTTTGTTTAGATTCAATTTAAATTACTTTTCCGTTATACAATGCTCAATAGAATTTGCAAAGCTGATGGTATGTTTTGCTTTTCGTGCTTCTGCGTGCTATTTTTTTTTTGATTCTGTGGTGATGTTTTTCATTTTTTTTTGCCATGATGATGTTATTTTTATGACGCCTCTGATGCTTTTTATAGATAAGACAAATTGCTTATGCCGACTTTGATTTGCACTAATTTATTTTGAAATTATTATGGCAAATTCGTAATTAGAACTAGAGGCACTTTATTCAAACTAAGATGTTCATGTTTACAAATTTGGTATGGGTAAGTTGGAAATTACACGACGCGGCATATTAGTTTTATGGAGTTAATTAAGAGTCATAAACGTAGTGAATAGTCTCATATAGGTTTTCAAAATTTTTTCTGTTTGTTGCTGTCAGAAAGAGTCGAAAATTTATTTTTTTGCGGTTTGACTTAAGATTTTTTTCAGTTCAGGTCATTTCTTTTTTAAGCGGAACGTAAACACCATTATCGAAAAGCGAAAGTGTAAAGGTCACTACAAATGTGATCGACATCTAATTTCGAATCCGGATTTTAATTATCTAGCGAAATAATAAACTATAAATCCAATTTTCTGAAATCGGGTGAATTTTATCAAAAAAAAGTTTTATCATAAAATGTTCTAGAATTTCACAGAGCGTTTACTATTATTATTATTTTTTGTTTTGTTGGGCGACTTTTGATAGGGTTTTGTAGGGCGCCTGCTTCAGAAATTCTTGATGAGATGAGCAATTATTTTCAACGAAATTAAATGGTTTTTTGGGGGCCTAGGAAATTAGACGAAAAGCAAATTAGACGTGGCCAAAAAATTGAATTTAGACGTCGATGCAAAACTACAAATATGGGGAAATTAGACGTAAATGTATTGTTCGCGTGTGTGAATTTTTAAAGGGTTTATAAACTCTTTTTGTAATTGTGAAAGTTTGTTTCAAGCAATAACTTTTGTTAGCCCTTTGCTTTTCTCCCAAAATGCTGGTTTTGCTTAAAAAAACTTTAACGTCTGGATTCAGTTTTATTGGATCCGTCTAATTTCTTGTCGCCTATTTCGTTACCCCCGGTTTTTGGATTAGAACTTGAGTGTTTTTGTTTTGTAAAGCCTAAACCAATAATTCTGAATTTTTCACGGAATAAACTTTTTATAGCTAAAGCAAATTTGCAATATGCTGACCCTGATTTCATTTTTAGGGTTCCTCATCTTGTGTATCAACAAGCTTCGTTCTCGCGCGAATTGCAGGCCCGCGGAGAAGTTGATGTTCGTTGCTTCGAGGCTCCTTCTCTCGATTGCTCATTTTATAGCTTCGAGTGGATCAACAAGCCACTCAGTGGGTCGGACCGAGTGTTCTCTGTCAAAGACTTCTCAGTGGTAAGTGGGCTAGGTTTAAATCTAGGGTTCTTAGCGCTTCTTCAGGTAATTGACGCCCACTTTAAGTTTTCATTTGCTCAAAACACTTCTTTTAAAAAATCAAAACCTGACCAAACATACCTGAACAAAATCACTTTGGTGGACCCATAAATGTCGACAAAATTGGAATTTTTTCTTAATCCATCCCCATCCCGAGAAAGACCGAAGTCCTCTGTCTGAAATAGACTAAGCTGGTTTGAGTAGTTTTTCTACATTTGTAGGCTAGTAATGGCGAGTATAACGTATCTGAAAATGACAACGTAAACGAAAAATACTCAGTTGAAGTGATTTGCTTCTGATTGAGCCATAATGGGAAAACTTTTATTACAAAACTTTCGATATCTTCCCAGCTGGAATAATAATGAGCAGAGATAAAGGACACGACACAACATGAGTTATTTTCAGCCTATCGTATCTCTCGATGTTCTGGAAGGGACCAATACACTAGCAGTGGGAGTCAAGGATTGCCGTGTGCTCATCTATGACACCGAAACAGCTAAGGTATTCTAAGCAATCACGGCTTCCCATCGCAGTTTCACAGTCGGTGAAAAAATGGTCCAGTATTGGGTTTAAATTTAGGCTACGATATACAGGGCTACCCCATCAACAACAATATTCACTTTTGGACGCTGAAGTTGGTGATTTTAAAGCGGTGGCTATTGTTTCCCGTAGATCATTTGGTCAAAGAATGTTTTTGGAATAGCTTATAACTATATTGTCTGTAACTATTTTGATGCTGTTATGTTGCTAGATGACGAATGAGCTGAGTGGCTTCATGAGTCCTGTCTCCGTGGTGAAGTTTGTCTCCCGGGACAAGATGGTGGTCGGAACAGACGGAGGACAACTGCTAATGTACTCAGTGAACGACTGGCACAAGTAAATCAAAACTAATTTTTTTCTCAATCAAAAACTACCACAGGATTATCCTCGGATTCTAACACTAGTTTTGAATGTAAGCGGCTTGTAACCGGTTAAATATGAACAACATATAACCAGAGGTGTAGTTGGCCTATTGAATCCAAAAGCTTAAAACATTCTGGGCAGCCTGCTTTGTGAACCCGGGTAGCTTTGTTCATTCAGGTTGTCATCGTGGAAGAAACACGAGCGCAAAGTAGTCTCGGTAGCCTGTGACCCTGCCGGTATGACATTCGCAACAGTGGGATGGGACTGCACTCTGATGTTGTGGAATGTATCTGATGGGAAACTAGAGAGTGAAGTGGAGAGGGCGTCTCCGTGTGCCATTAACTCAGTAGACTGGCATCCCAATAGACCTCTTTTGGCCATTGCATGTTGGGACTCGACGATCAAGTTGCTCAACACTACCTCCAAAACTATGGAATATGTAAATATATTTTCAGTTTTACACTAGCTGACTTAAGTGAGCGTTAATGTTATTCTACGACTATTTTTTTCTAACCTAAGTCGGAAATATTGGCGTCTCTTTTGGGGAACCGTTAAGGCTTTTTGATAGCATGTGCTTTGAAATCCGAATAGTAATAAGTTAACACAATTGATTACACAAGCAAAGCTTGTGTTATGGTATGAACTATCTTTTTTTCCAACCTAAGTCGCAAATATTGTTGCGACAAAATGTGTTCATTTTGAAAGTGTTTATTTTGATCGATAACCAGCTACTAAGTACAGCTAGTGCTAACGATATTAACACAGACTATTATATTACAAATTCTGTTTGATAAAAAAGGTATTATGACAATGTGTGGGATCGGTTTTTTTTGAGACGCTTTGGAAAATTTTCGTTTTTCTCAACAGTACTCTAACGAATTTCAAAAGAGTAGTACTAATGGCGTAATGGCGATTCCGGCCACTCCCCTGTTTGCCTGCATACTCTTCTGGTCTCTTTCTACCTTACCCCACTTTCTACAGCCTTCGAAAAAGTGTGTGGGGTGGAATTTTCGAACCCAATTTTGGATTTTTTTTTGTATTTTCTCAAAAGCTACCCACCCAAAACTGAGATTTTGGGTTCAATGAATAGAACAGGTTTATGAAAAGCTACCCTACATCAACAACCACGACCAATTTTTTAACGCAAAATGTTATGGCTCTCAAAATAGTCAATTTTTCGATTTTTTGACCATGTTACGAAACTTTTACACTTTTCTCAAAACTCAAAAACTACCTTCCTAAATAGGAGTTTTTAGTTTCAATCGAATGGACAGCTTGTGAGGAGCTCCCCTGCTTTAGCAGTTACGCTCAAATTTTTTCACACAAAGTTATGATCCTCAGAAAAGTCAAACTTACGATTTTTTTTGTCGTTTTTTGAAATTTTTCAATGTTTCTCAAAAACTACCCTCTCAAACCTGAGGTTTTGGATTCAATGAGTAGAATGGGTTATGAGAAGCTCCGCTGCATAAATCATTACGCCTAAATTTTTTTACACAAAAAATTATGACCCTTCGAAACGTCAAATTTTCGATTTTTTGACCGTTTTTTCAAAGTTTTCGATTTTTCTCAAAAACTACCATCCCAAATCTGTGATTTTGGTTTTAATAGGTAGAATGGGTTGGTGTAAGCTGTCCTGCATAAGCGGTTACGCCCAAGTTTTTTTCCCAATACTTTATCACCCTCGGACCTCGGAAAAGTTGAATTTTAGACTGTTTTTTTTTGAAAAGTTTTGTTTTCTCAAAAACTACCCTCCTGAATCTGAGATATTGGTTTCAAAGAAGAGAGAAAGGGCTCTCTGTGTAAGTGCTCAGGTTTAATTTTTTTGACGCAAGAAAATTGAGTGCTTTCAGAAAAGTCAATAATTTGATTTCTTGTCCGTTTTAAACTTTTGACTTCTCGAAAACAACTCAATCTGATTTCAAAGGTTTAATCAAGGCAACAGGTTGTAAGAAGCCTCCGTGCATAAACTTCTACGCATTTAAGTTTGAGCAATAAATATGTTTTTAAGAAAATTCCAGAATTAATTTTTCACTCATTTTTCAATAGAGCAACAACCAAGGTTTTGAGTGAAGCTCAATGGTTACGTTTTTTAAATAACCTACTTCATCCCGCATCAGTACAACAAATTCAAAAGATATCAAACAGGTAAATCCAGCTTTAGCTAGGCCTCTGGTAGCTTTTTAGCCTTAAGGTATTATGGATCTGTAGTGTAGATGAAGGGAAGGAGACTCGACCCGCAACAAAATACGAGGGTGCGAAGCTGGGCAGGGTCGATGTTTTTATGAACTTTTTCGTTTACAATGTTTACACTCTCCAATTACGAAAGTAGTTGAAATGGAGAAAAGACAATGTTGATTGCATTTTTTTATTCATTTGATTTTTGAACAAATTGTAAAACATTAGAATTACATGTTATTGAGAAAAGCTTAAACGTGGTAGTTTTTGTGCGAAGTTCTAAAGTTATTATCTGATTTGGCCTATAAACAAAGTAGGAAACAAAATTATTGCATGCGATTAAAAGAGTTTCAGCATGATTTTGTTTCTTCAAAAATCTAAGTTGCTTAATCTAAAAATGTAAATCTAATTTTTTTTTACTTTCTTGAGTTCCTTAAAAAAACACAGGCTCTTGCGCATTATTTCCGGAAGTCTCCAATGCATGTTTAATTTAGAAGCGAAGGGTTGCTATATGGTTTCCGAGGAATCCGGATATCAAGAGCTCATCAACTCTTTTTATGGCTGTTTTTTTTTTTTTAGCGCAGGGTTAAAATTGTATTACATTCCTTGTAAATTATATTACTTGCAAAATTGTGTCTATTTCTTTTGGTGCCTTTTTCGCTGAATAGCATTGGCATTTGTTTAGCATTTGTAGCTGATTTGTTCTGACTAGTGTTTGCTGGTTGTTAAGCGTCCGTGACCGAGAGGGCAGGATGTGAGAATCAATTCTCGAGGTCGCAGGTTCAGAGCCCATACTTAGCAAACTTTTACTAATTCGAGGCTTATTTCTATCTTTTAGCTGCTTTTTTGTCGCGTTCTGACTAGTGTTTGCGAAGTGCAACTTTCGTATAAACCTAGGCTATCGTGAAGTCTTCAGGTTTCTTTTTCGTATGACGGACGTGTTACCAAACTCTGGTACCATGACATTTATCCACTTTATGTGGAAAAACTTAAGTGTTAAAGCACTAAGTGAAGCGACGCTGCGAGGTCGTGTGATTTTTTGTTTTTTTTTCATAAAAAGTTATAATTTGATGATGCTCAAGTTAGATTTTTCGCGGTTGGACTTACACTCTCTAATTACGAAAGTAGTCGACATGGAGCAAAAAAAAATGTTGATTGCGTTTATTTATTCATTTGGTTTATGAACAAATTGTAAAAACTTAGAAATACATGTTATTGAGAAAAGCTTGAACATGGTATTTTTTTGTGTGAAGTTCTAAAGTTGTTATTTGATTTGACTTATAAACAAAGTAGGAAATAAAATTAATGCATGCGATTAAAAGAGTTTCAGCATGATATTTTTTTCTTCAAAGTTCTAAGTAGTGTAATCTATAAATTTCAATCATTTTTTTTGCTTTCTCGAGTTCCTTGACACTTTTCGAACTTGTTTAACAACTTGTTCAACAAGTTGTTTAACTGAATTTTTTGTCAGTTTCTCCCGTCTGTACTTCCTTCAATCGACAGATATATTTTGAGCACGTGTGAATTTTGAAGACCCGTTGTATTTACACTTGCGAAGCGAGTGTATTAATACGAACCTTCTTTTTTCCAATCTGAGTCGCAAATACTGGTGCGGCACCTTTATGGTGCTGCACCCCCAAATTGGTAGGGTACCTTTACAGCTTTTTGATAACATGTTCTTTGACATTGGAATCGTAATAAGTTAACACAAATGATGCATTATTAATTCATCAAATGAACCGAAAAAGTGATTTGTTGCAAACAACAACAATGCTGAAAACTCTTTTTCAGAAGTTTTCTAACTCACTTTTGCTTTTTTTTATGTGACTTTATGCTTTGTAATATATATTCCAAAGTATTAATTGCAAATTTGTGTCTATTTGTATTTGGTGCCACTTTTGCTGAAAGGCATTGGCAAGTTATTAGCATAAATAGCTGCTTAATTCGTGACTAGTTTTTATCGGTTGTTAAGCTAGTGTGGCTGAGTGGATAGTGCGTGAGACTCAAAATCTCTTGGTTGCAGTATGTCGCAGATTCGAATCCTACACGTAGCCGAGTTTTTGCTAATTCGAGGCTTATTTCGACTTTTCTTGTTTTACTTGATAGAGCTGCTTTTTGGTCGTGTTCTCGCAAGTGAATGCGAAGTGCAGCTTCGCCTCTGTGTCATAACTTGTTTGTCATGCTAGCTTAAAATTTTTTCAGTCAGATTTGATTTTTCACTTTTTTCTTTTTTTTCTATCAACTTAAGCTTTTTTTCCAGGCCTGTGTGTGATGGGAGTTTTAACCTGGTTTCACCTGTTTTTCGGCTCAAATGGTGTCTGCTCAGGTTTTGTTGGCTTTGTTATCGTTTCGGGAGTGTTTTCCAATGCTAATTTAAGGTTCAATAGCCTTACTTGGTATGTTATTTATAGCATATATTCAAGGCCGAAAACCGAGAGAAACATGAAAATTTTGCTAGCTCTAGCTTTTTGACCTTATTGAATTTTGACATCAGTTCATTTTCTCTCCGCGTGTATCGCAATTAGCGTGAAGGTCCGTTTCGCTTCTTGTGTTTTCTGTTTTTTAATCTAATTATTGTTTACATTGCTATTTTGTTCTGTAGAGCTACAGAGGCCACTCAGACTCAGTGAGGTCAGTGGTGTTCACCCGTCCTGATGGGTCAAGACTCATTTCTTCATCCCTGGATGGGCAACTCAGACTGTGGTCTGTGACCGAGAAGTGTCTCCTCTGTATCATGGACTATATTCCTAATGTGACAATTACACAGCTGCGAATTGTTAGAGGTCAGGTTACAGTTTCATCGAAAACAATGTATCTTTTCGAGATTAATTGATAAGTTGTTCAAATTCGATCGATTTTATAATGGGTCACCAATCATTTTTCCGGTACATGATACCATTTCAATCTAAACTAATTGCAGAACCCGTGGCTGTTCTTGTTTTTCCGACCACTTTGTCTTCGAACGTATCGCAAATAGTCATCAAAATTGGTCGATTAATGAAATTAAGCAATGATAAAATCTAGTGGTGCTACTTTTGTTCAAATATAGACTTCCAGTGTTCGTCAAAAGCATTAGAACATTCGTCGAACATCAGTTATTTCATTGGGTTTTTCAGTATTCTTGAGAAGAAAAAAATTGAATCGAAGTTCAATCAAAATTTAATTGAAAATTTTTCAATTTTTCTGCTGAATATTTTGCATGTTCACACGATCTCCATTAAGTTTTGCTCTTCTTTCGGTAACCACGTTTCCAGCAGTGCTGAAAACGCGAAAACGCTCACACGGGGTACTCGAGAGAGTTATGCTGAAAATTTCCCTCGCCAAAGTAGTGAGCGTTGGGTACTTACTGTAAACAACTCAGTAACACGCAGGTCAAATGGAACCGAATATTCGCGAGAACCTTCGAAAGTTATTTCTCAAATGAACGTTCGAACATTCGGTTGAGCACTTACAAAATCATTTTGCGAGCCTTCATATATGGTTCAAACGGTATTAAAGAATTTTCAAAATGTTTTTCCAGTGCAGCAAAAACGGTGTAAAGTTTTTGAACGTTAGTCTATTTTTGAGAGTTACAGCGAGCGAGTAGGTTTTATAAAAAATTAAGTAGTGAAAAAAAGCGCTTCCTTGGCAATTAAAGGTTTTTTAAATTAAAAAGTGTTAAAATTCTTCTATTCATTTTCGGAGGACAACTGTTGTCGATTGTGCCTAATTCACTTACGTTCTAAGGGTTCCTATAGTCCTCTAATCGCACCACGCACAAAAATGAATATTTTTTGAAAACTAAATGGTCGAAACAATCTGTGCTACGTGTACAACAACCGTTTATCCGTGTTTTTTTTTCTGATATTTGTAAGATTCGATGAACGTAGTAAAGACTTTTATAGGTCGTGTTTTGTTGTTTTTTTTCAGGAAAAGTTTGAAAATGCTTTATGATAACTACAGAAATGCATTCATACTTTTTAATGCATTTATGATTGCGCCTAAGTCTATAAGAGCTTTTTGAGTTCTATTAAATTTCATCTGCTAAAAGTTAGTTAAATTGCGCTTTTCATGTAGAAAGCGGAAATGGCTCAAAAAAATTGACCGACGAAAATTACTCATTGATCTAGTTTTCTCTTATTGGGTTAATGTTATCAGAAAAGTGTCAAATATAAATTGTTCTTGAAATTTAAAGAGCTTTAAGGTCATGTTTTTTCTACTTTGAAATTCGAAAGTTGAGTTATTTAAAAAAAATTGTTTGCTTGTTTTTATCGAATATTTTTCAGCTGTATGTTGGCTATGTTTCTCATGGTGAATGAATATAATATTTTAAGTAATTGTGCCCGTAATTACGCCTCTTCTTTTTTGAATTAATCTAAAACTTGTTAAAGTTTCTGTTCTAGTGTAAGTGAACGAAGTGAAGTGATTATGTTTTTTTATACGAAAGAGTTTTTGGTATGGTAGAAGTTGTTAAAGGGTAAGTTCAATTTTTCTAGGTTAATTTTTATGTTTAATGTTCAATTAAATTTTAATTGCTAAAAAAGGAAAATTATTCTCAGAGAGATGTTCAATTTTTTTCGGTTTCTATGGTTTTATTATGTGTGTGGGAATTTTTGTGTTCTTTTCAAAGCTCCAGTTTTAATTTTTTTTTCGATTGTACATCTTTTTTTTTCATTATCCTTTTGCATCCATCGAATTTTTTCCGACTTTCTTCTGGCTGTATTTTGTCTTGCATCCAAAATTGATCCAACTTGTGGATTTATGTTAAAAGTGTTCTCGTCATCGGAGTCGAATTTTTCCGTTCAGGTTCTCGATAAAAATTTTTCGAGAGTCGATGAACGTAGTGAAGACTCTGAAATAGGTCTTGAAGATTTTTTCAGGAAAATTCTTGAAAAGTGCTCACGCTTAACTTGATTTTTCAAGGTTTGACTTGATTTCTTTTTCAGTTCACTTTATTTCCTTTGTTAACAGAAAAACAAACTCCACTATCGAATAGAACGTGCAAAAAAACGTGATCGAATTCTATTTTCGAAATTGCGTTGAAGTATTCAGATTTCACAGCCGAATAATAAAATTACTTATTGATCCATTGTTCTTAATGAGTTTTTTATCAAAAAAAAAGAGTCAATCTTAGTTAGTTCTTAAAATTAAAAAAGCTTAAAAGCCATACATTTCTTAATTTTTTGTCCAAACAATTCTAACTCAGTTGTTTAAAAAGGAAAATTACGCTCTCCAATAGCAAAAGTGCAATTCGCGCAAAAAACATGACTGGCCTAATTTCAAAAACGAAATCCATTGTAATAATTCCCAGCGAAATAAAAAAGTTATTTTTTTGGCCTAGTTTTTGTAAATATTTCTTGATAAATTCTGACGAAAAAAGTTTCGGACATTAAATATACTATATATCTTCTCCGAAATTCCTTATTTGGAAAAAGTTCAATCATTTGTTCGGTATCTATGGCTCTTCTGTTATTGCGAAATTTTGTGTTGTTTAAGCTCTTTTAGAGTTATTTTTTGATAGTACATTGGCCTTTTTTCATTCTCGTTTTGCGTTCATTGACACTTTTTTAAAAGTCTGTTGACTATTTTTGAGTTTTAAAAGTTGGGTTGGATCGACATAAAAAGGTTCAATCATGACTCGAAGTTGAACAAAATTTCTCATAGAAAAACGGCCTTTTTTGTTTTACTTGGTTGTTGCTTTTGCAAGTGTGCTGCAACCGGGTACGAGACTTTTTTCCTCTAAATAACTTATTTCACAGAAAGGGAAAAATTGGAAATGGTAATTTCATGTTCAGTTCATGAATTCAATTTTTTTCCGTCTCCGGCACAATTGGTTTGGAGGCAAGGAATAATCTGCGACGGCAGAAACTCTGGGTTCGAACCTGACTGCTTTTTTTTAAACTGGAATTAATTCGCTTAAAAAAAATGGCGGCTTATGATTTGTCTGCTTATGTTTTGTCAGCATAGTTGCGACATCGCAGAATTTGTTTTGCTCTACGTTATTTTTATTTTATTTGCTTTTAGTGTTTTGATTTTTTCTGCGGTTTGTAATTTACTGACTGACGTTGACTTCGTATATTCTCTTTTTTTTTCGCTCACAAATTTTATTCTGCTCAAATGATTTTGGCCTATATTTATCGGCTAAGTAGTGTTATATTGCGTCGTTTCATCAGCAAAGAAAGTGTTCGTTTGCGCGTGTGTTTTGACGAGAAGGGGGCTCCAAAACTTTGTATTTTTTGAAATGGTTTCTGCTCAGGTACTTTCTGCTGTGTTGTATTTGGAATTTTCTGTGCTTCTTGCAAAGATCTTGCTTCTTTTTGCTTTTTTGAATTTGAATTAGAACCGAAATTGCCAATGAAAGTTTCTGTTAGTTTTGTTATTAAAACTTGATTCGTCAAGTCTTACCTTTTCTCGCCATTACATCAAAATTTAATTTCAGAGATTGATTATTTCATCTACTATTTTTTGAGTCGACTAAACATAATTTTGGAGCTCTCTGGACACTCTATAAAGCAGAGGCCAATTTAGGGGGTGAAACGGCTTTTTTAAACCTGTTTTTCAAAATTTTGCCTGCGGTGCTGAAAATTTGGCCAAAACAGGGTTTGGCCAAAATGAGTGTTGCAAGAGTCCCTGTGGGCGTTGAGAGTGTCCAACATCCTCCTCCATCCCTTCCCACTAATTAAAATCTGCGTTGGATTAAGTGAATGCTAAGAATTTCTGCAGGAGCTGATGCAACGGAAAAATCTGATGCTTATTTCTTAATTCGAATTTGCTAAGTTTAGCAATCTAGATTTTATTCAGGTGTCAATCAGGATTAAGCGTGATTTTAATCGATGTAATCTAGTCGAACAGATTCCTCTGTCTTGCCTGATCTGCTTAAATCGGACATGATAATCTTTTTGAGCAAGATCTTAAAGTCTTTCCAATTAATTCTTGCAAAATCAGTTTGAATTCTTTTCTATGCTCGGATCAGACATAATTTTCGATTTAATTCTAGGAAGATGTTGATATGATAGAAATTTGATCCTCTGCTTTTTCAAAAGAAACTGGTATTTATAAGATACTGCCCATATTATTGTATCATTACAAGAATTCGAAACAATTACAGCTCCGTTATCCATACGGCTGAAAAACACGCGATATGAAGTAAACAATCAAGAATAATGCTGCCAACAGGCTTGGCAAAAATCAGCGGGCATAAGTAGTTAAATTATGCAGTTCGGACTGCGGGTAGTTTTTATTAATTATGTGGGCATTTCTACAAATATAAAATTCCACGGGAAAAAAGTATGAAAATTTTAGCCAAAAAATTCAGATTTTTGCCAAATAAGTATTTTGACCACCCTCCCAACAGAATTAAACCCAAAAATTTTCCTTTAATTTAATTTTGATTTTTTTTGGGTACTTGAGCTTTTTAAGCGTCGAATTTTTTAAGCGTCAAAAAATTCAATGCCATCTCTATAAAATTTTCGGAAAAATTCGAAAAGTTTGCTCGAAATCCTTCAATTATGCAAAATTTCTGCGGTATTCTTCGATTTCGAATTGAAGGCTAATTATGCGGGGTTATGCGCCGCATATTTATGTCAAGCCTGGTGCCGCTGCTGAATTTTTGTTTTATCATCACGATGCATAGTTAAATTCATGATTTTTCTACAATTTGTTGCCTCGTAGTTTTTGCCCAGATTGTTCATTTTTTAATCTATTTCAGGCGGCCAAATGTTGGTGGGAACTGGCAGTGACGGTCAATTAAGGGTATGGAGAAGTGACCTGGGCAAAGAGATCACAGCTCTAGACGTGAGACAACAAACTCTGACTGAAGACAATCCGTCTAATGCGGTTGTTTCGAAGAGTAGTAGACGAGAGGACACTCAGGATGTCTCCGTGAAGAGTGTTGCATTTTGTAAAAACCAGACGCTATTTGCTGTGCTTCTAGCTGACGGGAACATTTCAGTTGCATGGTACAAACTTAGCAAGAGAAATTTTCCCTGCTTTTCAAATGTTCATTTTCTGTGTTTTGATCTGACATTTTTTAAGTCTCAGCAAACAGGATTTTGCAATCAGCTGTTATAAATTAAACGCTTCGCAATTTCATAAATAGCCTGTAAAAGGTTTAACTATAATAAAGGTTGCATAGTTGACTAGACTTACGGTTGACATCCAAAATACTTGACTTAAACTTACATTTGTGTTTTTAGTGGCTCAACTTACAAGATACTCAAGTCTACCCGATTCCCACAGGATTTCAAAGCCATTCTTCAATTTATAGAGTGGATTGATAACTCGCTTTTAATCGTAAGCGAAAGACGTCTCTTCATTGCATACTGTTATCCTAAAACCGCTTCACGGCCTATTTCTACGTGGCCTTTCAACTCAGATGTTGAGTTCACTGTTGAGAAGATAGGCGTGGCTACAGAGAAAACGAAGAAAAAAAGCTCCTCCAGTGGTGTCCAGTATGATTTCTACTCCTCTGAGAAGCAAACTTGTCTGGGTGTTGGAATAGTACCAGTTAAAGAGAAAATTTTCTGGGTTGTGAGTGTGGGATCCGAGTATGGAAATGTGGACTTGTTCAAAGTGGAGTCTAGCCAAATTTCGTAAGCGTGCAGTTCTTCTTAGGGTTCGCTGGACTAGGATTGTTGTCGAGCATCGTTTTTTTATAGACTCTTTATCGGTCATTAAACTCCTTTAAATTTGACGCTATAACGATAATCTATGGAAGGATTATGGACGATTAATAGTTAGTTTTTGTGCAGAAGTCGCGATGCGAGTGATCATTTTGCACCTGTACACCTCGAGAGACTGTTCACTGTGCAGAGCGCCCATGAGGGACCCCTCACCCATTTAGCATTTGTGGACCGTACTCTCTTCTCAGCAGCTAAAGACAGGGTAAGTGCAAATTTCAAGCGGCTCGGAGGAGCCGGCAAACCGCCTGAAATTGATAATAGTACACTAGGTAAAATCAGCCGAGAAAAGAAACGCCGGGTTTCTTGAAGTGGCTTGATGCCTACCGCCTGAAGTTAAAAAATCCGGGAAAAGTCTTAAGTTTTAACCAGAAAACAACAACGGTACTCTGTAAATAGTTGAAAATTTAATTTTAAGTTGTCTACGCTTGCGATTAGCAAGCGTGATAAAGTTGGAATATTGACTTTTTTCGAAAAAAAAATTTGTGAAATAGAATCACTGTATTATTTGTGCTGATATGCACAACTTCTGGAAAATTCAAAATTAGCTAATAGTTGTTATTACTGTTATTTACTGGTACTATGTTCTTTTTTCATTGCCTGTAAAATTGCTTTGACCGATTTCTTTGTTTTGATTTACTCAATGACTTGAAAGGTTTCCGATTATACTATATTGGCTTAGCTGCCTCTTATTGCCTTATTTAACGGGCGAAAAAGTTTGTTGGCGTCTCTGTGTTGAGGAGACCTAAAAACTTGGAGTTTTCAAACGTTTCATAGCTTTAACATAAGCGAAGCGTAGTGTATGATTACGAAGAATTTTTTATCACCTAAGTCGCTAATAAAAGTACTCACTTGGTCGCTTTTTTGGTATATTTGAATTTAATCATATTTAAGCGTAACCAATTTAATGGCATATGTTGCTGCTTTTTTTGGCTAGTGTTAGTTTCGATTTGAAAAAAAAACATGTATATTGAACATAAGTGGGATATGTTGTTTTTCGTTTTTTTTTTGCAACACTTTGGAAAATTTTTGCACTTTTTGCAGAAGTTTCAATTTTTCTCAAACCACTACCGATTTTCAAAAAATTGGTAACAATGGAAAAGCCGGCTGCTTTTCTTTGTGCCTGTATATTTCGCTAGTCTTCTTTTATGTTACCTTACTCACTGCAGCCTTCGAAAGTTTCAATAGGGAGATTTTGGCCTATTTTTTGATTTTTTTCTTTTCATTTTTGAACGCAAATATTGAACGCACAAACTTGAGATGTAGGTGTCAATCAAAAGAACAATGTAGAGGGATCTCTCAAGAGGCTAATCCCTAAATTCGGTATGCCTCAAACAAGCCCATTTTTGACATGTTGGTTTATTTTTGAAACTTTTTTGAGTAGTTGTGTTTAACCAAAAAAAAATCAGTTAATCCGATCTTATCTGTGCAAACGGCTATGCCCTGCAATTTGAAAAACAGTATGCCCGTTTTTTGGAAAGCTTTTCTTTTTTCGAAAAACGAATTTGCTGATTCTGATGTTAATAGATCAATAAAACTGACATGGTGCTTAGACTTTCCCTGCGTTATCTGTTTTACCCTGTTACTCTTCTGTAGAAAAGCTGATATGGACTTCGGAAAAATTCGTTTTTAAGTTTTTACCCTTTTAGAAAATTTGTCACTATTATCGAAAACTTCTAGCTAAATCTGATATTAAGGGTTCCATCTAAAAAATCAGGGTGCCGAAATCTTCTATCTGAAAACCAGGGTGTAGAAATAAGAAGCTAGTTCCATGCTTATTTAGCGATTTTTTTTTGGATTTAGGAAAAGTCCGATTTTTGAATTTTCGATCGATTTATGGAACCTTTTTCACTTTTTTCAAAAACTACCCAGCTTAACCTGAGATAGACTTCAATTGGAAAAGCGAATAGTATTTTTTTCTTTTAAATTTGCCTTTCATCCCATAGATAAGCAGAGAAACTCTAGGGTTAACATAAAGTCCCTTATTTTGAAAATTATGCATTTCCGTGTCCGTAAGATATGTGATTGAATTATTAGAGCTGGTAGATCCAACATTAGTTTGGCCACTAGTTTACTTCCGAGCGACCGTAGGGCAGATGCGAGGACGTGAGACTCCTAATCAACAGGTCTGATATTCAAATCCAGAACATTTAAGTATTTTTTTGGTCGAATTTTTGCTGCATAACATTGGCAATTTGCATTTGATAAAAACTGTAGCTGCTTTATTAGTTGCTAATGTTAGAAAAATAACAAACGGTCGTAGAGCAGATGTGAGAAAATAAAACTTCTACTCTCAACAATTTTTTTTCAAGGTGTATTTTGAATCTGTCTTATTTCACTTTGATTTTCCCGTTCAAAGCTTTTTTACATTTTATCAGAAAAGTGTCAAATATAAAATGTTCTTGAAATTTAAAGAGCTTTAAGGTCATGTTTTTTCTACTTTGAAATTCGAAAGTTGAGTTATTTAAAAAAAATTGTTTGCTTGTTTTTATCGAATATTTTTCAGCTGTATGTTGGCTATGTTTCTCATGGTGAATGAATATAATATTTTAAGTAATTGTGCCCGTAATTACGCCTCTTCTTTTTTGAATTAATCTAAAACTTGTTAAAGTTTCTGTTCTAGTGTAAGTGAACGAAGTGAAGTGATTATGTTTTTTTATACGAAAGAGTTTTTGGTATGGTAGAAGTTGTTAAGGGTTAAGTTCAATTTTTCTAGGTTAATTTTTATGTTTAATGTTCAATTAAATTTTAATTGCTAAAAAAGGAAAATTATTCTCAATTATTCTCAGAGATGTTCAATTTTTTTCGGTTTCTATGGTTTTATTATGTGTGTGGCAATTTTGTGTTCTTTTCAAAGCTCCAGTTTTAATTTTTTTTTCGATAGTACATCTTCTTTTTTTTCATTATCCTTTTGCATCCATCGAATATTTTCCGAATTTCTTCTGGCTGTATTTTGTCTTGCATCCTAAATTGATCCAACTTGTGGATTTATGTTAAAAGTGTTCTCGTCATCGGAGTCGAATTTTTCCGTTCAGGTTCTCGATAAAAATTTTTCGAGAGTCGATGAACGTAGTGAAGACTCTGAAATAGGTCTTGAAGATTTTTTCAGGAAAATTCTTGAAAAGTGCTCACGCTTAACTTGATTTTTCAAGGTTTGACTTGATTTCTTTTTCAGCTCACTTTATTTCCTTTGTTAACAGAAAAACAAACTCCACTATCGAATAGAACGTGCAAAAAACGTGATCGAATTCTATTTCCGAAATTGGGTTGAAGTATTCAGATTTCTCAGCCGAATAATAAAATTACTTTGATCCATTGTTCTTAATGACTTTTTTATCAAAAAAAAGAGTCAATCTTAGTTAGTTCTTAAAATTAAAAAATGTTAAAAGCCATACATTTCTTAATTTTTTGTCCAAACAATTCTAACTCAGTTGTTAAAAAAGACAAATTACGCTCTCCAGTAGCAAAAGTGCAATTCGCGCCAAAATTATGACTGGCCTAATTTCAAAAACAAAATCCATTTGTAATAATTCCCAGCGAAATAAAAAAGTTATTTTTTGGCCTAGTTTTTGTAAATGTTTCTTGATAAATTCTGACGAAAAAAGTTTCGGAGATTAAATATACTATATCTTCTCCGAAATTCCTTATTTGGAAAAAGTTCAATCATTTGTTCGGTATCTATGGCTCTTCTGTTATTGCGAATTTTTGTGTTTTTTAAGCTCTTTTAGAGTTATTTTTTGATAGTACATTGGCCTTTTTTCATTCTCGTTTTGCGTTCATTGACACTTTTTTAAAAGTCTGTTGACTATTTTTGAGATTAAAAGTTGGGTGGGATCGACATAAAAAGGTTCAATCATGACTCGAAGTTGAGCAAAAATTCTCATAGAAAAACGGCCTTTTTTGTTTTACTTGGTTGTTGCTTTTGCAAGTGTGCTGCAACTGGGTACGAGACTTTTTTCCTCTAAATAACTTATTTCACAGAAAGGGAAAAATTGGAAATGGTAATTTCATGTTCAGTTCATGAATTCAGTTTTTTTCCTTCTCCGGCACAATTGGTTTGGAGGCAAGGAATAATCTGCGACGGCAGAAACTCTGGGTTCGAACCTGACTGCTTTTTTTTAAACTGGAATTAATTCGTTTAAAAAAAAATGGCGGCTTATGATTTGTCTGCTTATGTTTTGTCAGCATAGTTGCGACATCGCAGAATTTGTTTTGCTCTACGTTATTTTTATTTTATTTGCTTTTAGTGTTTTGATTTTTTCTGCGGTTTGTAATTTACTGACTGACGTTGACTTCGTATATTCTTTTTTTTCGCTCACATGTTTTATTCTGCTCAAATGATTTTGGCCTATATTTATCGGCTAAATAGTGTTATATTGCGTCGTTTCATCAGCAAAGAAAGTGTTCGTTTGCGCGTGTGTTTTGACAAGAAGGGGGCTTCAAAACTTTGTATTTTTTGAAATGGTTTCTGCTCAGGTACTTTCTACTGTGTTGTATTTGGAATTTTCTGTGCTTCTTGCAAAGATCTTGCTTCTTTTTGCTTTTTTGAATTTGAATTAGATCCGAATTTGCCAATGAAAATTTCTGTTAGTTTTGTTATTAAAACTTGATTCGTCAAGTCTTACCTTTTCTCGCCATTACATCAAAATTTAATTTCAGAGATTGATTATTTCATCTACTATTTTTTGAGTCGACTAAACATAATTTTGGAGCTCTCTGGACACTCTATAAAGCAGAGGCCAATTTAGGGGGTGAAACGGCTTTTTTAAACCTGTTTTTCAAAATTTTGCCTGCGCTGCTGAAAATTCGGCCAAAACAGGGTTTGGCCAAAATGAGTGTTGCAAGAGTCCCTGTGGGCGTTGAGAGTGTCCAACATCCTCCTCCATCCCTTCCCACTAATTAAAATCTGCGTTGAATTAAGTGAATGCTAAGAATTGCTGCAGGATCTGATGCAACGGAAAAATCTGATGCTTATTTCTTAATTCGAATTTGCTAAGTTTAGCAATCTAGATTTTATTCAGGTGTCAATCAGGACTAAGCGTGATTTTAATCGATGTTATCTAGTCGAACAGATTCCTCTGTCTTGCCTGATCTGCTTAAATCGGACATGATAATCTTTTTGAGCAAGATCTTAGTCTTTCCAATTAATTCTTGCAAAATCAGTTTGAATTCTTTTCTATGCTCGGATCAGACATAATTTTCGATTTAATTCTAGGAAGATGTTGATATGATAGAAATTTGATCCTCTGCTTATTCAAAAGAAACTGGTATTTATAAGATACTGCCCATATTATTGTATCATTACAAGAATTCGAAACAATTACAGCTCCGTTATCCATACGGCTGAAAAACACGCGATATGAAGTAAACAATCAAGAATAATGCTGCCAACAGGCTTGGCAAAAATCAGCGGGCATAAGTAGTTAAATTATGCAGTTCGGACTGCGGGTAGTTTTTATTAATTATGTGGGCATTTCTACAAATATAAAATTCCACGGGAAAAAAGTATGAAAATTTTAGCCAAAAAATTCAGATTTTTGCCAAATAAGTATTTTGACCACCCTCCCAACAGAATTAAACCCAAAAATTTTCCTTTAATTTAATTTTGATTTTTTTTGGGTACTTGAGCTTTTTAAGCGTCGAATTTTTGAAGCGTCAAAAAATTCAATGCCATCTCTATAAAATTTTCGGAAAAATTCGAAAAGTTTGCTCGAAATCCTTCAATTATGCAAAATTTCTGCGGTATTCTTCGATTTCGAATTGAAGGCTAATTATGCGGGGTTATGCGCCGCATATTTATGTCAAGCCTGGTGCCGCTGCTGAATTTTTGTTTTATCATCACGATGCATAGTTAAATTCATGATTTTTCTACAATTTGTTGCCTCGTAGTTTTTGCCCAGATTGTTAATTTTTTAATCTATTTCAGGCGGCCAAATGTTGGTGGGAACTGGCAGTGACGGTCAATTAAGGGTATGGAGAAGTGACCTGGGCAAAGAGATCACAGCTCTAGACGTGAGACAACAAACTCTGACTGAAGACAATCCGTCTAATGCGATTGTTTCGAAGAGTAGTAGACGAGAGGACACTCAGGATGTCTCCGTGAAGAGTGTTGCATTTTGTAAAAACCAGACGCTATTTGCTGTGCTTCTAGCTGACGGGAACATTTCAGTTGCATGGTACAAACTTTGCAAGAGAAATTTTCCCTGCTTTTCAAATGTTCATTTTCTGTGTTTTGATCTGACATTTTTTAAGTCTCAGCAAACAGGATTTTGCAATCAGCTGTTATAAATTAAACGCTTCGCAATTTCATAAATAGCCTGTAAAAGGTTTAACTATAATAAAGGTTGCATAGTTGACTAGACTTACGGTTGACATCCAAAATACTTGACTTAAACTTACATTTGTGTTTTTAGTGGCTCAACTTACAAGATACTCAAGTCTACCCGATTCCCACAGGATTTCAAAGCCATTCTTCAATTTATAGAGTGGATTGATAACTCGCTTTTAGTCGTAAGCGAAAGACGTCTCTTCATTGCATACTGTTATCCTAAAACCGCTTCACGGCCTATTTCTACGTGGCATTTCAACTCAGATGTTAAGTTCACTGTTGAGAAGATAGGCGTGGCTACAGAGAAAACGAAGAAAAAAAGCTCCTTCAGTGGTGTCCAGTATGATTTCTACTCCTCTGAGAAGCAAACTTGTCTGGGTGTTGGAATAGTACCAGTTAAAGAGAAAATTTTCTGGGTTGTGAGTGTGGGATCCGAGTATGGAAATGTGGACTTGTTCAAAGTGGAGTCTAGCCAAATTTCGTAAGCGTGCAGTTCTTCTTAGGGTTCGCTGGACTAGGATTGTTTGTCGAGCATCGATTTTTTATAGACTCTTTATCGGTCATTAAACTCCTTTAAATTTGACGCTATAACGATAATCTATGGAAGGATTATGGACGATTAATAGTTAGTTTTTGTGCAGAAGTCGCGATGCGAGTGATCATTTTGCACCTGTACACCTCGAGAGACTGTTCACTGTGCAGAGCGCCCATGAGGGACCCCTCACCCATTTAGCATTTGTGGACCGTACTCTCTTCTCAGCAGCTAAAGACAGGGTAAGTGCAAATTTCAAGCAGCTCGGAGGAGCCGGCAAACCGCCTGAAATTGATAATAGTACACTAGGTAAAATCAGCCGAGAAAAGAAACGCCGGGTTTCTTGAAGTGGCTTGATGCCCACCGCCTGAAGTTAAAAAATCCGGGAAAAGTCTTAAGTTTTAACCAGAAAACAACAACGGTACTCTGTAAATAGTTGAAAATTTAATTTTAAGTTGTCTACGCTTGCGAGTAGCAAGCGTGATAAAGTTGGAATATTGACTTCTTTCGAAAAAAAATTTTGTGAAACAGAATCACTGTATTATTTGTGCTGATATGCACAATTTCTGGAAAATTCAAAATTAGCTAATAGTTGTTATTACTGTTATTTACTGGTACTATGTTCTTTTTTCATTGCCTGTAAAATTGCTTTGACCGATTTCATTGTTTTGATTTACTCAATGACTTGAAAGGTTTCCGATTATACTATATTGGCTTAGCTGCCTCTGATTGCCTTATTTAACGGGCGAAAAAGTTTGTTGGCGTCTCTGTGTTGAGGAGACCTAAAAACTTGGAGTTTTCAAACGTTTCATAGCTTTAACATAAGCGAAGCGTAGTGTATGATTACGAAGAATTGTTTATCACCTAAGTCGCTAATAAAAGTACTCACTTGGTGGCTTTTTTGGTATATTTGAATTTAATCATATTTAAGCATAACCAATTTAATGGCATATGTTGCTGCTTTTTTTGGCTAGTGTTAGTTTCGATTTGAAAAAAAAACATGTATAATGAACATAAATGGGATATGTTGTTTTTCGTTGTTTTTTGCAACACTTTGGAAAATTTTTGCACTTTTTGCAGAAGTTTCAATTTTTCTCAAACTACTGTACCGATTTTCAAAAAATTGGTAACAATGGAAAAGCCGGCTGCTTTTCTTTGTGCCTGTATATTTCGCTAGTCTTCTTTTATGTTACCTTACTCACTGCAGCCTTCGAAAGTTTCAATAGGGAGATTTTGGCCTATTTTTTGATTTTTTTCTTTTCATTTTTGAACGCAAATATTGAACGCACAAACTTGAGATGTAGGTGTCAATCAAAAGAACAATATAGAGGGATCTCTCAAGAGGCTAATCCCTAAATTCGGCATGCCTCAAACAAGCCCATTTTTGACATATTGGTTTATTTTTGAAACTTTTTTGAGTGTTTGTGTTTAACCAAAAAAAATCAGTTAATCCGATCTTATCTGTGCAAACGGCTATGCCCTGCATTTTGAAAAACAGTATGCCCGTTTTTTGGAAAGCTTTTCTTTTTTCGAAAAACGAATTTGCTGATTCTGATGTTAATAGATCAATAAAACTGACATGGTGCTTAGACTTTCCCTGCGTTATCTGTTTTACCCTGTTACTCTTCTGTAGAAAAGCTGATATGGACTTCGGAAAAATTCGTTTTTAAGTTTTTACCCTTTTAGAAAATTTGTCACTATTATCGAAAACTTCTAGCTAAATCTGATATTAAGGGTTCCATCTAAAAAATCAGGGTGTCGAAATCTTCTATCTGAAAACCCGGGTGTAGAAATCAGAAGCTAGTTCCATGCTTATTTAGCGATTTTTTTTTGGATTTAGGAAAAGTTCGATTTTTGAATTTTCGATCGATTTATGGAACCTTTTTCACTTTTTCAAAAACTACCCAGCTTAACCTGAGATAGACTTCAATTGGAAAAGCGAATAGTATTTTTTTCTTTTAAATTTGCCTTTCATCCCATAGATAAGCAGAGAAACTCTAGGGTTAACATAAAGTCCCTTATTTTGAAAATTATGCATTTCCGTGTCCGTAAAATATGTGATTGAATTATTAGAGCTGGTAGATCCAAAATTAGTTTGGCCACTAGTTTACTTCCGAGCGACCGTAGGGCAGATGCGAGGACGTGAGACTCCTAATCAACAGGTCTGATATTCAAATCCAGAACATTTAAGTATTTTTTTGGTCGAATTTTTGCTGCATAACATTGGCAATTTGCATTTGATAAAAACTGTAGCTGCTTTATTAGTTGCTAATGTTAGAAAAATAACAAACGGTCGTAGAGCAGATGTGAGAAAATAAAACTTCTACTCTCAACAATTTTTTTTCAAGGTGTATTTTGAATCTGTCTTATTTCACTTTGATTTTCCCGTTCAAAGCTTTTTTACATTTTCCTCGCTTGTGTTTGCGAAGCGCAGCTTCGCCTCTGTATTGAACCTTAAATATTAAACTAATGTTATCGGCATAGTTACCCTTGCGCAATTTTGTTTCGATATTAATTCAACTGTGGATACTGGAAATTGTTTTCCTGGTAATGTTTATCTCAAAATTAACTTCTTCAAGACTCATGTATAGGCGGTGAGATTTTTTTCGGGATGATTTTTTTTCGCAGTTTGGCTTTTGATTTTTTTTTAATTCAGCTCATTTCCTTTGTTAAAAGGAAGACCAACTCCGTTATCGAACAGCAAAAGTGTCGTTTATCCAACAGCAGTACTTTATCGAACAGCAGAATTTTCGAAAATGGAATTTAATTTTCAGGTTTCCAAGCGAATTAAAAATTTTAGCTATTGATCCTGTTTTCTCATTGTGTTAATTTAATCAATCTGTTTTCCTGGAAGTTCGAAAATTGTTTTCTCTTTTTTGCGTTATTGGCTTTTTTTCCGACTGTCTGTTGGCTATGTTGCTGTTTTGAACGTTTTTTAAACTTGCGAACCCATGTGTATTAGTGCGAACTTTCTTTTTTTTTCCAGCCTAAGTCAGAAATATTGGTGCCACTTTTGGTGACGCCTTGACAGCTTTTTCATAGCATCTGCTTTGACATTCGAATGATGATAAGTTAACACAGTTGATGCATTTTTAATTCATCAAATGAACCGTAAAGGTGATTTGTTTCAAACAACATAACAATAATGAAAACTCGATTTCAGAATTTTTCTAACTTAATGTATCAAGCAATTTTTTGAAATGCGTAATTTATACATAATGTGGCTTTGTGCTTTGCGATTTGTTGTGGTCGTGATTGTTGTGATGCAAATTTAGTGTGGTTGCCTTCAGTTTTTTATATTCCAAATTATTATTTGCAGCATTGTGTCTATTTGTATTTGGTGCCATTTTTGCTAAATGGCATTGGCAATTTATTAGCATATGTAGCGGCTTTATTCGTGACTACTGTTTCTTGGTTGTTAAGCTTGCGTAGCTGAGTGGATAGTGCGTGAGACTCAAAATCATTTGATTGCAGTAGATCGCAGATTTGAATCCGACACGTATCCGAGTTTTTGGTAATTCGACGCTTATTTCTACTTTTTATAGATAGAGCTGCTTTTTGGTCGTGTTGTCGCAAGTGTTTGCGAAGCGCAGCTTCGCCTCTGTGTTCATTCATTTTCTGTCGACAACTTGCCTTGTATCGCAAGTGTTGCGAAGCTGTCTCGCCTCTGCGTCAAACATCGAATAAGCATAAAAGACCCATCGATTTTCAAATCAGTGATTAAGAAATGATCACCTATTTTTATCACCTAAATTTTTATGAAAAAAAAACCGTAATAAAAACGTTTCATTAACCGCAAAGACGTATGTCGGCATTGAGTTTGATATCAGCTGCCGGGCATCTAAATTTCGATATACTTTTGCAATTTAGGTTAATAAAGTACCTTAATGCTTGGATATCCTTTATACCTTAACTGACTTAATAATAAATGTGCTAAATGATTGCAGAAAGTGGCTCTTTGGGACATGAAGAAAATCAAAAACGGCAAAGGACCAGTGCAAGTGATCCAAAATGCTCATGAAGACTGGGTCACGTGTCTGGATGCCAGTGAAGAAGTAGTCGTCACTGGCTCGGCAGACAACTCAATCAGAGTTTGGAAGAGGATAAACCACCTGGTGATGAAAGAGGGCGACAAGAAAGGGAAAGAAGAAAGAGCAGTGATTGATGCTAATTGTGCTGCATACACATTGACAGGCCACAACTCGGCTATACAATACGTCAAGTATTTTGTTAGTCCAAATCTTACCCAACTAGTTTTGTTGAATTTTTATTTTAAATGTTGAAGTGTTTGATCTGACTAATATTGTAGAAATAGTACAGAATATGCGGACCTCAGCCATTGGAGTAAAGCAAATAAGATACAGAACATTGTTTTTCTTTTGCTGAAATATTTGTCGTTTATTTTTTACCTAAATGCGATTGAGTTACGTAAAACGCTGCCAAATGAGAGGTAATAATTACTAGATTAATGAAAAAATTGCAGACTTATAAAATTGTCTAGTTCAATCTCTCGTTTTTTGGTATCCGAATTACGATTATAGGGATTGAATATGATGCAACCCTGGACTCCCTTCAAACTTTTTTTAGCCGTCAGAATTGAGAAGAAAACATACAAAGCACATAGTTCCTTACCACTTCGTGGTCGATTAATTAGCCTATCAAATTTCTATCGAAAAAATTCTGTTTGTTGAAAGTTCATATCACTTCTTTACGCTCTGAAAATTTGTTTCCTTGAATCGTGAATTTTACTGGTATATGAAGATTTAAACGTCATTAATGAACTTGACTACGACGTTTTTATCTTGATTGATCCTAATTGTTCTGACTTAAGAAAGAGACGGAATATTTGAGCTCAGGGTGGTTTTTTCTCCAGCAATTTTTTTACGGAATCTTTAAAAATCATTCAACATGTATTGTTGTCTTGAGAAATTGAAAAAGATATTTGACTTCTGATCATTTTTTGCAAAGTTATGGGGGTTCAAAGTTTGACCATTTGAGACATTTAACGTGCGATCTATTTCTTGCTAATAAAGCGGAGATTTAATCCGTCTTAGAAATCGTTCGAAATTGAGTTGAAGCTTTCTATTTAGTCTATTTAGTACTTTGCTATATGCGAAATATATCACTTTGTACTTTTGTACTTTTTATAGAATGTGAAGGGTGTTTTTCAAAAATTTATATTTCAGAAATTTTTGTTTTAAAAATTTAATGCTGATTTGCATATTTGGGACCATAAACACGCGCTGCACTTCGTCGTGTTCACACGTAAACCGGCTATTAAATATGGCGCAGAAATTATTGTGAAATGTCTTGACGCAAGCTATTCGTTCCGATTTTTCAACAAAGTGACAGAATATTTGTGCTCGGGATTTTTTGTTCTCCAGACAAATTTTAATTCCAGGTTTTTTAGCTGATCTGTTTCGATTTGTGTTAAATTTTTCTAGCAAATTTTGGTTCTAAGGTTATTGGGGATTGAATTTGGGGCTACTTTGATCATAATATGTCAACGTGAGATAATAAACGCGCAATATATTTTGCCCTTTCCAATGTGTCACCAGCAAATCAAATCATTTCAAGTTGGATTGAAATCACTAAATTGCTTTTATTAATCAATTACCATACCAACTTGTATCACTCTGTACTTAACATAGCGTGTAGAAGGATAAATTAAGAGATGGTACTGAAAAAACAAACATTTTGAAATTTTTTCATGTTTCCCACAGTTTTTTCTAAGAAAAACTTTTTCATCGACGCTAAAGATCAGTTCGAACAATCAGGTTTTCATTCCTATGCAAATTGAACGCCTTACCAGTTCGACTTAGTATAGTGGCTAGGCGTTCAATTCGTGTAATTGATTCACTGCCATGGCAATGATAGATGAAGAGGACGAGCTCTCACTTGACCTCTAGCTGCAGGTCTACCACAGCTTGACCAATTCCGGCTGTAATAGTGCTACCACATGTAAATTCTAGACGCAAAAATTGACCCATAATCCACAATCGCAAAAAAAAGGACTCCGCTCAACGAAATAACTCAGTCTGGAATGTGAGGAAATAAGAGAAACGGACTACGCTTACACAGGCTGCAAAGCCTATCATAGAGCCTCTGCGAATCGCAGAAACTTACATTTATTGTTCCGACTTTCGATACGAAAGTAACGGAATATTTGTGCTCGGGGTGGGTTTTTTTTCTTCAGACAAATTTCGACTTTTTAACTAGCCATTTTTGACGGAATTTTTTTATATCCTTCAAAAGTTATTGTTGTCCTGAGCTTAAATTTGAAAAGATATTTCACCTGTGATCATTTTTCGTAAAGTTATGGGGGTTTAAAGATTGCCATTTTGGCCAATTTGGGACAATTAACGCGCGATATATTTCGCGCTATTAACGCGTAAGCGGAGAGTTAATCCGTCTTATAATCGTTCCAAATTGGTTAAAAGAAGCTTATTTGCCATAATTGATTTGTTACAAGGAACGAAATCTCTCTTTTTGTACTCTATATGGCGTGTGGGGGGATGATTTTCACAAAAAATTTCAAATTTTAGAAAAAATTTTCATTTTATTTTATTTTATTTTTTTAATGCTTTTACTGCTGCTCCATAAACCTTAAAAGGCAGTCGGAACATTCAGGGCTTCGCCCTGATACGAGCAGTCTTGTTATTATTATACGAGCTTTTTTGGTCTTACTAATTGGTTAGAAGACGCTATTTACACCACTTCCTACCCAACATAACATGATATGATGTTGATAATTGAAATCACGTGTGAATCCTTTTTTCTGAATCTTATCTGAATTTAATTCCACAGATAGTTGAATGTAACCAAATAGTTTTAATTTGGTTGAAAAATACCGATGATAATATCTAAATAGCATTAGTCAGCGCTAGGACTGTTTGCAGACATTTGCATAAATCTCCCTCATGGGCTAAATGCGATAAAAGGGTTTAATTAGTCATGGTAATTTGGTTTCAGTTGGGTTGAATCTGTTGATCCAAATCTAGAGAGAAGTTTTTAAAGCAATGAAATGACGTTGAGCTTAAGGGCACTTAAAGTACAGAGTATCGCTATCAGACTTATGTCTCTAAGTCAAAATCACATTGACTATTTTTTAATTGGAATTTAACATCAATTCGCTCAATCGAAATTTCATAGGGACATATTGCTCCTGGGAAAGTGAGGATTATAATTTAGGGAATTAGAATATCATTTGCTAGCTAAATGATTTTTCTGAAGCTTTGCACGCTATTTGTTTACAAAATAGATATGTATTAAGCCCATTATGCATTGTCGCTGAAATAAAATTTCAAGTCTGTAATGCGAATGATTTAGCCGCCGTGATTTGCAAAAAAAAATTAACTGGAGGGCATTTACATAATGGACTGCACTTCGAATGAATTATGCAGTTTTGAAACTTAATAAATAGAATACGATTGAATTCATTGAGCCAGTATGATGAGGCCAAAAAAAAATAAAGTTAGCAGTTGTTGTCCGTTTTTTGGAAACATTTTATCAAAAAAAAACTAAAATAGACTGTTTCCGAGCAAGAAGCTTGCAAAGGTCTGGCTGCGGCGTGGAATTTTATTGACTTGAAGCGGTTTTGGCTGGCGTTGGCCTTAACTTCGTTTTTTTGTGGAAAATATAACCAAAAATTGTTACTCGATTTTTCTTGACATCGGATAAACTTTGAAACTACTGCTCAAATTTGGTTGAAATGATTTTAATATGATGATGCATCACTCGATTTCATCTGATAATCATTTATGGTTCCAGATTTGAAAGTAAATAAAGAAAATACGCTTGAATACGAAATTTTTTTCTGAAATTTGATTTGTCGGTGGCCCGTATGTTAATTAATACTGAAGCTGGATTGTAAAATGTGCGTAAACAAGCTAATTGAGCCAAGCTTAGTGAAAGTTTGTCTTACAAAATGTCTAAATAGTGAAGTGTTTCAACTTTTTCTCGTCAACCCTAGTTGTTTATATTTTAGCTAATCGAAATTATGGTGGTCAGCTAACAAGCCGAAAATAATATTACCATTTCAACAAGCTGAACATAAACATTTTTATGTAACATAACAACAGATTGTCACTGGTGTTATGCATTTGTTACATAATTTTGATGTAATTTCGGCTCCAAGATATGGTATGGCGGTTTGTAAATATGGCGTCTTGCCTCATTTAAATAAATAATCAAACATTTAATTTTTCCGTTCAACAAAGCGAAGTTTTTTCAAGAGTCGATGAACGTGAATGATTTTTATTTACGTTTTTTTTTTCAGAAATAGTTCAAATTTTGTTTTTGTTTAGCTCAAATTTAATTTTTCGAGGTTTGTCTTTTGATTTGTTTTTGAGTTCAGTTCATTTGTTTTGTTAAAAGGAAGGCAAACTCCAGTATCAAACAGCAAAAATGTAAGGGTCACGAAATGCGCGTGATCGACTTCTAGTTTCGAAAAAGGATTTCAGATTCCCACATTATTTTGCCGACATAAGTATATTCCCTGTGGTTTTGAGATGCTTAAAATAGCGCTGAAACAATCGATCCTATGTCTTAGTTCCTTCGCTTTATTGGGTATGGGCGGACTAGCAAGAAGCAAATTACTGTGATTTAAAAGAGGTAATTTCCAATATCAGTTGATGTTTTATTTTCTCAACGCCTGACTATTGCATAAACGAGCCATTGCATTGAAAAAAAGATTGCAAAAAGGAACTGAATTTTTGTATTCATTATCTAATTAGCTCCATTTTATTACACAGATCTAGGTAGTTATAAATGATGGTTTTGACATCGATAAGAGCGGTATTTCGAGGATTAGGTGGCGCAAGCGGAAAATTTGGCTAGTTTATAAGCGGAAGTGAACTGATTCTTTGACTTCCAGGTCAGACAGTGGTAAGGAATGCACATGAAGCTCTCCAAGAAAAAAAGTGTAAATAGTGCGCAAAATATGGGTCAGTTTTTATCAAAAAAGTGTCAATATTGCGAAATTCAACGAGATTTACCGTGATATGCTTTCCCTTGAAATGATCAGAAAAAAAGATATATTTTTTGGTTTCTTGTAATTCATAAACACTTTTCCAGCTGTCTCTGTTCGCTAGTTTTAATTTGATTAGTGCTTTCACTTTGCACGGCTGAAGCATTTCGCATTTCGTTTCCTTAAAATGTGACAGCTGCTCTGTCGGGTTGGAAAAACAACATAACAAGCATTTTACAGATGTTTTCAGCATATGTTTGTTGATGGGTCATTCTGAAATGTTTTTTAGAACGATGCTGATTTGATTGTATCGAGTGACAGCGAAGGCGTTGTGAAGTGCTGGAGATACTCCACAGGGTCCATATTGGCGTCCAATCAATTCACTTCGCCGGCAAGTGCAAGCATATCTACGCTTGTATGTGAGGCCAGAATAAAAGCTGAGGCAGATGAGGACTCACCTGTTATGAATCTGGGTGAGTTCAAATAAGACTTAATTATTGAAAGTTTTCAGAAAGCTCCAAAAATGTTTCAAGAATATCTTATAAATGCCATATTTTCCAACAAAAACAACATCAAGCGAAGTTTCCCTAACTCGAAGTCCGCTCGAGTTATTATTTCGAAAAGCTGAGACATGTTTAGTTAAATCCATAAACAAATTCAAAAATTAATCCACTCCAGAGTAGCACGCCTATCGGCTAAACTTGACTGCCCTTGAAGTTACTAAAAATTTAAAACTGCTTTTGGTTAATCGGAACAAAAACACTGTTATCGAAGTCCGAAACATGTTTGTCTGTTCAGAGATTGCAGATTGGGCTGCTGAAGTAGAAAAGGATGAAGAAATTTCTGCTCAGAGCAAGAGAGAAATCCCGACTAAGAAAGAAGAGTCGAAAAAAGAAGTGCATTTGGTGATTGGACACGAAGATGGACACACGACTGTCGTTGACCCCATGGTCGGGGATCAGACCTCGTCTCTTGTCGGTCACTCAGAAGTGGTCAATTGTGTATGTGAACAGAGCAAGGATTCGAGCGTGTTTTCAGGCGCGAGTGATTCGAACGTGATCAAATGGGACCTGAAAGTTCAGGTATATATCATTAAATAATAACAACGAATGATAAGACTGAACAAGGTTTTATGAGCACTTCAGACTGAACAACGTTCACTGCCATTCATTTAGTTGGATTCAATATGATTATTACGAAAATCTGTTTTCAAATGTCTTCAAAGCAGAAAGAGTGTTGTGGAATCAGAAAATGAAGTTCAAATTCTAATTTGATGCTGATTATCTTTTAAATTGAAAACAAAGATTAAAAAAAGAATATTAAAAAATTCCAATTAAGGTTGAAAAAAATTTCGTATAGAGTGACAGTGCTAAAAGCGTGAATAAATGCTGTGACGTCACGATCTCCGCTATTGACTTCTACGTCGTCAGCTCACTTGCACGTGTAGTTGTGGGAGACGTGGCTGGTGAATTACAAGTAGTCGAACACTCCTCGGGGAGACGGCTCACAATGAACCATTCGGTCCACCCGAAGCACCACAAGGGGTTTGTGAGTGGGGTGAATGTGGCTGTGCACGCAAAGAGAGTGTTCGTGATGAGTGCGGGACGTGATGGCAAAGTGCACAATTGGGAGATAACGGAAGCAAACAATGGGGCCTACGGGTCCATTGCATCACTGAGGTTTGTTCTCATTTCTACTGTGAGTCTGGAATGTTGAAGAAATGTTCGAGAGGTTTTGTGAGCAATAAAATGAGACTGACTGGAAGTATACTTAAACTATAAGCGATCAACCTGCGAATTGAGTGTGTCGTTCTTTCTTCGAAAGTGTTTCTTTTTTTACAAAAATTCTTTTATTCTTTCTACTCGGGGTGGAATTAGGGGGAGATTGAGAGAATTATAGATCAACTCCATATTAAGCATCATGAATTCAGCCTTAAAAGTTGCCTAATTTAATATTTTTATTTTAATGAAGCTGAGTAAGTGTCTGAAATTTTTACGAAAACTTGATAATGTTGCGTTCTAGTTTGTTGTCGACAACTGATCTAGGATCTCCAGTGGCCAATATACGCAAAGTGTCGTCCCTTATTGACAAAAAGAACCCAATATTGTTCTGTTGCTGGGACGGTTCATTGACTGCATTAGCTCGAAGCGTCTCCAGACCAGAGAACGTAATGAATCTGTGGAGCACAGCCTCTCCATCTTTGAAAGATGAGCCCTGGCGTACTGATTGGCTGGTAGTGAAGGGGCCAAATAAGACTTTCTGGAACCTGCACTGTAGTATGGATGAACGCGATTGTTTTGTTAGCTCATCGAACGCTTTGTTCCAGACTCCGGACCGAAGAGCCGGTAAACTATGGTTGACGACTGTGCAAAGCAATGATAGTTCAATCAATCTGATCAAATTTAAATGATTAAGAGTAATGAACGTAGTGAAGACTATCATATAGGTCCTACTGATTTTTTTTCAGGTAAATCTTAAAATATTGATGCACTTAGGTATAATGCATTTTTTGAGATCAATTGAAATTCATCTGCTGAAAGTGACGTAAATAGCACTCTCCAAAAACGAACGTGCAGTTGGCGCAAAAATTCGTGAGCGTTTTCTAGTTTCGAAAGTAGAATTTGTTTCTAAAGATTTCCCAGCGGAAAAAAACTTTACCTGTTGACAGGGGCGGATCTAGGATTTTCTCGAGGGGAGGGGGGGCGGATTTTCAAAAAATTTTCCAAAATTTTGACGACCTTTTTTTTAGGTCGATCAAATTGATTTTTCGAGCTCTCCCAAAGCACTGTTTTGCCCCTATTTTGGGCACTTTTTGGAAAAACTTTCACAAAAAAATCGCGTTTTTTTGGCGCGCGCTCCCCCTCAAAGTTAATATATATTGGCGCCGAAAGAGCCTTTAAAAAAATTTTACGGTCGGTCGGCCAAAAATGGATTTCTGAAAAAGTATCAAAGGGGGGACCCTTTGGGTCGGCAGGGGGTCGAATCCCTGAGGGGGGGGGGCGTCCGCCCCCCTAAATCCGCCCCTGCCTGTTGATCCAGTTTTCTCAATTTGGGTTAATGTTATCAAAAAAGCGGCAATCATAAATTGTTCTAGAAATTCAAAGAGCTTAAAGGGCATCTATTTTTTACTTTGAAATTCAAAAGTTGAGATTTTTTCAACAGTGTTTTTTTATGTTTAATTGCGTTCATTAGTCTTTTGCAATCCTCGATTGGCTGTTCTTTTTTTTGTCAGATAAGTTAAAATTTTAAAATTAATGAATTGTTTTGAGTGTAACCGGCTTAAATCTGTTTTTTAACGCTCTGTCATCTTATTTGGCCCCAGTGTTGAAATATTTATTTTTCTTCTAGGTTACAGAATAGAAACTTGTCACGAATTCTCTTCTTCTCAGTGGACTTGTTTTGAAGTGGATGCACGAGAACAGGGCTTGTTCTACATTGGAGATGCGAATGGATTCGTCCACATGATCTGCCCGAAGGAGTACGAAAAGAGAAATAGTTCGGTGTGGAAAGTTGAACAAACAATGGCTACCAAGGTACCTGTCACGAGTAATCTTTGTTCATTGTCTCATAGTCACGTTTACTATTTCTGGTCATTGTATTTGTAGTGTGCTCTAATTTGCGTGTAAGTTTTTTTGAACTTAACGGTTGTTCGAACGTGCGGATTTGAGATAATAATTGTTGCAGGCACACGAGGGAGCAGTTAGGTGTATTTCATTGGCGCATGCCCTGCTAGTAACTGCTGGGGACGACTGCGAGATCAGAGTGTGGAGAAAAGAAGAAGTTGACAAAGATGGTACAAAAGAAAGACGTCTGATACAGGCAAGCTCCTTAATACATTTCGTGCATGTAAAAAAATGGAGAAGTTAGTAAGAATGAATTAAAATTCAGCTTACGAAAGATTTCAGTTGCTTTTAGATTTAACTTCTTGAAACAAAACTTGCAAACTTTTATTTCCGATTTAAAAAATTGATTTTTTTAAAACAAGTGTTAAATCTAACAGTATGTAAGATGGTTATTTAAGGCTGTTGTTCTAACTTGTCTTTATTTACGTTGTTTTTCAGGTTGGCCAATTTTCATGTAGTGGACCTGTCTCCTGCCTAACAGTTTCAAGAAACGAAGACACGCGTGTGAAACTGTCGAACATATCTGCTGCAGATAAACTGGGAAATGTATACTCCCTCAAGATTTATCTATAAAACATTCTTTATCTATTCATTAACTGGACATTAACTGCTATAGAAATGTTAATTTGAAATTCAAAGATTAATGCATGGTAAATTAGGCATACCTTTAATTGATGAAAGATTAATAAATAATTAATAAAAATTTACTGCACCATTTTTTTTCTAACCTTGGACTCAAATATGCATATCTGAGTGATGAGGGACACTTATTTAGGTAATAATTTTTCGCACTTACTTTTTTAGGTTATTGGCTTGAGTTTTCACGGTCGCTTTAATCAGAAAATTTTCCTCCCCCATAATTTTTTTTCTGCAAAGTGTAAGTGACATCAAAATTTTTGCTTCATTTAGTTTCAAGTTGGTTCAAGAATTGTTGGGTTACGTATATTGTATTCTCGCATATTGTTGGGTTACGCTTACGCATATTGTTGAGTTCTCGCATGTATTCTCAACTCAACTCCAGAAGCCACAAATAAACTTCAGATAGAGTTCATTGATTTGTCATATTGAAGCCTTCTCATACTTGATTTGAGCTGCAAGGTAAGCTCATCTTGTTGAATTTCTGATCAATTTAAAAAGAAGGGCAAAAAACACATGAAATCCGTCAAAAGTGCGAATAGGCGACTAAAACTTACTTCGATTGAGATAGTTCTGACTATTATTAAGGTCATGATGTTTCTTTTTTTTTTTCAGGAAAACTGAATTGATTTCTGAACTTAAATTGTTCATTTTAAAGTTCCCTTGTTAAATCAACGCTAACTCCACTATCGAACAGCAAAAGTATAAAGGTCAAGATAAATGTGATCAACTTTTAGTTCCGACGTTGGATTTTCGTTTTCAGATTCGCCAGCAGAATGAAAAGTTTGCCGATTGATAGTTTTCTTAAACCGGGTTATATTTATCAAAAAGTGTCAATCATAAGTTAGAAATTCTAAGAGTTTCAAGGACATCAGTTTGTTTTCAATTTCATAAATTTCAAATTTATCTGGAGAAACTGATTCACATGCGTGCCTTTTCTTCCTGGAGTGCGAGCCAACAATTATATATTTAACTATCGATCTAAATCCGCCGCTGACTCAGTTAAGAAAAGACTCGATTTATTTTCTGGGGGGGGGGGGGGGGGGGCAAGCATGCATTTAACAATCCTTAATCAAGATATTCTGAATTAAGTTTACGCCACCAGTCACTCTTGGCCATAAATATCGCTTAATGATCATTTTTGGTCTGTTTGACTAAAAACTTGAAAGCTGAAAACTAAAAGCTGAAAAACTATAATCTGACTAAAAACTAAAAGCTGAAATTTGCACAAACAGTTTGTCAGTCGCTCGAACTACTAAAAGGTTTGATTTTTTATTAATGTTATGTACACAAACAAGCTTTCTAGTGTAAAATTACACCTCCAGATTGTTTATTTTTGTGAAGTCTAACCCACAAGTTAAAACAAATTTGTGCAAAATTTACTGCAAGAATGTGGACAATTCTATACCTCTTAGAAAACTTCAATTTAACAATGAGAGCCATGAAGTCAAGAGAGTATAACCGGCTATAACTTTTTGTAAAATTCAGGAGCTTTTAAGTCTGACAATTATTAAATTCTTTCGATAAACTAAACTCATCTGGTTTCTCAAGCATGCGATTAGCAAGCGTTATCAAATGAAATCCAGACTTTTTTCGGGTTATCAACTAGTTTAAAAAAGTTAGTCGTATCACGTATGGGTGGGTAATTGCTGAGTGTGTTAAATTACTATTAACTATTGGTTGGGTAGTGCTATTACAGGCAGTTTTAGGGGGTATGAAATTTTTGAAAAGACTTACAAAATCATTTTTGGCTCAAAACTTGTCGTATTCGCGTGTGTTTTAATATTTTTTACTTTGTTTTTTTTTTCTATAAAAAATCAAGTACCACAAGTAATTGTCTTATGAATCGAGTGGGCTTATAATACGCAAAAAAAATGTAAAAACTGAATTTTTCTCCAATAGTATGAGTTATTGAAGTTTTTTGAACTCATTTTTAAAACTTTTAAAAAAACTGCCAAAAAATGGAATTTTTTTTTTTTGATAAAAATTTCGAAAAAAACTTTATCAGAAACGCATATTCTACATTTACTACAAAATATGCTTATTTTATAGGTTTTTGTTTAGATCCGCTCATAACCTAACAGAAACAACTGTTTTCAAGTTTTTTTGTAGACGCAAATTTTCTGCGGAATTGCTTAGTTTACTTGCATAACTACCGGCTAGCCTTGCTATTTACTGAAGTTAATTATTTCGAAGTATATATAGTTTTTCAAAGAAAGCACACTTTTATAAAAAAATTAAGAAAATAAGAGAAAAGTGCTAAAGAGTCACGTTAATTTATTTCATTATAAAACTAAATTCAAAATTTCATTACCAAATTTCAAAAAAAAACAACAACAATTGCGCTGAAACATAATACATCATGGAAAAATATAATGAGAGCCATAAAAAACAATACAGCAGTTTGGTGTTTTATCTGGATTAATTTGCAGTTAATCCGAAATAGTTTTAGTAGCTACTGGCTGGGAGTTTTTCAATCGAATTGAGTTAAATTCACGCGGCTTTGCAGCAAAAATTCAGAGTAATGTAATTATTTTTTATTCTTTTTGATGGGAAACATTGAAAATAAGAAAGATTAGGAGTTTTAGTTGCAATCGGCTGGGAGTTTTTCAATTGAACTGAAATAAACTCATGCGGTATTGTAAAAGATATTTTTCATTTTTCAATTTTTTTCAATTTAATGCTTACCAAATTGTTTTTTGTAGTTAATCTGAAATAGTTTCAAAAGCTACTGGCTGGGAGTTTTTCAATCGAATTGAGTTAAATTCACGCGGCTTTGCAGCAAAAATTTCAGAGTAATGTAATTATTTTTTATTCTTTTTGATGGGAAACATTGAAAATAAGAAAGATTAGGAGTTTTAGTTGCAATCGGCTGGGAGTTTTTCAATTGAACTGAAATAAACTCATGCGGTATTGTAAAAGATATTTTTCATTTTTCAATTTTTTTCAATTTAAGGCTTACCAAATTGTTTTTTGTAGTTGTTTGTTCTGCTTTTAAAACTTACGAATTTACCACAAAGCATCGTCTAAATTTTAAGCAAAAGATAGTTAACATGATTATAATGCTAAACGTTTTTTTTTGCAAGACCACGAAGAAATTGCAAATTTAGAGTAGTCTGAGTCAATTTATATTTTTTCAAAAACTCTGTCAGACAATTTATTTAGATGTAGGTCTCAACTTATTTAGTTGTAAAATTCTAAAACTCTACGGCGTTGAGCCAAGTCTCAATTACAGTCTCTCCTACAAAGAATTGTAAATTTAATTTTTCCTTTGGATTTTTGGTTTTTTAAAAAAATGTTAGAATTGAAATGGTCTACATTGTAGCGGCTAATTCCTTCTACCACAGCCTGGAATATCTTAGCAACCCGGAGAAGGAACAATTTCTGCCCAAAATATCGGCTATTCCGTGACTTTCCTTTAACTCGAACACCACGAACTCGCAGAAAAACCTCTCAAACCCACTATGCAGGGCATCTCTAGCAGAAAAACGTCAAGTGGTGTTGTGGCACGATATTATCAGTAATTCTATCAACAACCATCGCACAAACATTTACAGAGCTTGCACTCCAGAGGAATTGACAGAAATCCTGAAGACACTGACAAATAACGCTTGTTCCGGAGATTCTTTTCCGCTAGCAGATCTTTTTGCACTTCATCGTTGAACACATTGCCTGTGAATAGGTCTCTGTCAATTTCTGCCTCACGTTCTCCGTTTTTCTGACTTGGAAGTATCCACTTGTATTTTCGTACACGTGATTCCATCCGAAAGGATTTGTCGCTTTGTGTTCTTCTTCGTATCAGTTGTTTGGGTGTCTTGGTTTTTGTTGGTCTCGTTGGGCATGTTGTTATGCGTGTCGGTTTCCTCGATGCTGCATACAATTATTGCGGACATTTTCGATTCCGACATTTGGCTAATCGGAAGGAGATTTTCTAGTTTTATGGTGAGTGCGCTTTTTCTAGTCCTAGGAGAACGTCTAGATTCTGATGACTTTTGTTCTGGGGTGCTTTATGCCTAATCTCTTTGCGGCCGGTTTCTGTGGAGATTGCGTTTTTCTGTTCTTTTCAGAATCTGAAGATAAAGTCTCTGTCAATTTCTGCCTCACGTTCTCCGTTGCTACAAGTTGTGCATTTGAAGTTTCCTATTACTACGAGTTCTGTTAAGCCGCAGGGGATCTGCTCCAATGTTTCCGTTTTTCCCTGCTTGCGCGTGAACGCTTCATACCTGTCAAATGATACATTTCTCGGTTTTTTAAAGACACTGTTTCTCGTCTGTCCATAGATATCTAGTTGTTAGGTTTTGTATGTTCAGGTTCGAGTCAGGTTTGTTTAGCCGCCTTTGGCCTCTGTCCCTAGACACAAATAAAAATAGCTGCGATTTTTCATGTCCGCTCGTTCCCACGGTAAATCGTCTACAGTTGGTCCTAGATTGTCCAGAAGTTGACATTGATTCTCCCCTTGTATTCTTTTTTCCTAATTTCTCAGGTCTCAATCTCTAACTTGTGTTTTGGTTCTCCTTTGACTGGTAGTTTGTTACCTGGTTGCTGAGGTTTTTGTGTTGGTGTTGCTGGTCCAAGAAGGTTCTGCAGATTACTACCATCTTTGGCTATGATTACCAGAGATAACAGCTGATTGCAAATATCCCCCACGGTTAATGGTTCTACCGAGGCTTTTTGCCGAAATGGAGTAATTTCGAGAGTGTTTTTCGAAACTGCTGGCTGCGCCATGTTATACTCTCATCAGTTAGGTGAGGGTAAGCCACAGTTACGTTGGCAACATCTAACGTTGATTGAATGAAACAGGTTAAATAGCAATTTAAACTCACTTCTCTGCTTAAGTCTGGGTGACACTGACCTCGACTCATTTGAGAGACAGTCTCTTACAAGAACTAGTACATTTGTCTATACTTCTTTATTCATCATACTTCTATACGCTAATCAATAAAACCTATAAATAAAGTATGGGTTACCAATTGGTTGTTTTAGTATGGTTAATAATCATTAGTTGTATTTCTGTAAAATCGGGATGAACAAGATTTCCCTCTTTTTGAACAATTGAGTCTATCAATTTTGCT